CTGCTCAGTTCTATCGTAGCTCTTTTCTCTCTCTTCCTCAACTAATCCGTAGTTCTTCTCTATCTTCCTCAACTAACTACTGTCGCTCCTTTCCCTCTTCCTCAACTCGTCGTACCTCTGTTCACTCTCCCTCAACTAACCTAACTCAGTGAAAGCTCCCTCTTATATGTGATTATCTACCCCCCATAGGTGGTCCAGGAATGCTATCTATAAACACACCCATGCCCCCTAATTTCCGGTCAATTAGACCTTCCCATTGTTAACCCAAAAATTATCATGCGAAGTCTGGAAAACCCGAACATACTATTATCTAAAGAAACAATCTCCCACTATATCAAGATGTGAGAGTCTATTAACCTTAACTTAACCCCATTAACAGCAGTTTCCTTCCATCCTATCGTTACCTTAACAACAATGGAGCTCTGTCCTATACCCCCGCCCCAGTCATTTGTGACAGTGTGTGCTAGTGGGGATGAGAAAATATGTCTTTCCTTTTTTTACTTTTATAAGTCCAACCATGGAATATTATGTTCGAGGCACATTTCGTTTGTTCGAGTGGCCTGCTCCACCCATTTTTAAATTGAAAAAAATATATTATTGATATTGCTAGCTCATTTACCTCTCGAGCGAATTTTTTAATGAAGTTCTAAGGGTATCAAAGATTCCTTTGACTGGTTTCTAAAGAAATCCATTTCCAGGCATAATGATAATGTTAATGCTGTTGGTTTAGAATAAACTGCCTTCTCTTTGTCTTAGAATATAACGACTATACTATTTGAGGTTTAAAAAATGAACCATTGAAACATGAACTATGGCATGGGTTTTTTTTTTCTTTCTTTTTTTAAGTAAAATGTTCTTTTTACCTTTTCCACCAAGTCTACAAAGCGTAACTTCAATCTAAAGGAATGTGATTTTTTTTAAAGCCTTTGAAAATAATTAGTGATAATTAATTTCACAGAGTTATATGTTAATGTTGTATTTATAATTGATATAAAATTTGCTTTATATGGAATGCCAGTAATTGAGCATAATTTATTCACAATTTGAGACTAGTGCATTCATATCCTCCCAAACCCCTCCCCCCCTCCTTACATTATATCTTCTATATCAACCCCCCCCCCCTCTACCCTAACCCTCGCTTTTTGTACACAATGCAGACCTATGGATGGTTGAGAATCTTTCGTAAATTTACGGTCAAGACGTAAACATTTTATCTTAAATGACTTGTCCGAAAAATTCCGTAAGAACATTAGGATGACTTTTTTTAAAATAGACCGTTGAACGGATCCACTGTGATTGCTACATGCTTAGGCATTAAAGACAGGGCCGTTTCTATGTGTTTAACCGTGTTTTTTCCGCCCTAGGCGAGAATTGAAAAATTCCGCCTCTCCCTTTTACTACCACCATTTTCAAAGACATGTCATCCAGGGTAGCCAGAAAGCCATGCATTAGTAGTTAGTAGATATGATAGAACTTGTATTCAAGAATAAACAATTATTTATTTTTGTCCCCCTTTATTTTCATTTTTTTTCCCTTATAATTCGCTCTTTTTTTCCCGCTGTTTGATTTCAAATGTTCCGCAATTTTGCCACCCCTCAAGTTTCAATACCCTTAGGCGGCCGCCTAGTCTTATCTAATGGCAGAAACGGCTTTTCTCCTATTCTACACATCAGGGTGCCGTCTCGGGTAATCAGCACTTCGCTACCTCTGGGTGGTGTCGTGTCAAAACGGTCCGTGATAATTCAGCCCCCCGGCAAAACTAAAGGGACCCCGTCAATGGGGACAAGGCCCCTTTCATAATAATGTATCATATTGTACCATAAATATCAAGTGAAGGCCACTTCGGGAAACGTGAAGGCCTCTTCGGGAAACGTGAAGGCCACTTCGGGAAACGTGAAGGCCACTTCGGGAAACGTGAAGGCCACTTCGGGAAACACAGAAACAGTGCTCATCTGTATCTAAGTAACTAGACCTCACGTTCCCGCAATGTTTAGCATCAACACGTCTCTCTTTCTTTTATGAATTGTGTAGTTTGAAGAAAATTTAAATAATGAAATAGTTTGAATAACTCAATACATTACTAAAATAGGGGGATTTGATTTGTTTTAATTTTAAATCCTTTATATTAACTTCAATTTTGTTCATGAGTTTCTTTCTGGCTGGGTGTGTAGCTAAATCTTTGGACAGCTAATTGACCCACTTCACCGATTGAGCTTAAACTTGGCACATAAGCTTAAACTTGCCGATGACAGCACATTCTGTCAAATTTTCAGCCACACCCCTCCCAATCCCAACCGCCAAAAATCTGTTTTTCAAGGGGAAGATGAAGGAACTATGCTGCCATTCATTTCGGGAAACAAAATTCCCAATAACTGTGCTAAATACAGGCCCGTTCTTAGGCATACGCTGACTACGCATCCGCGTAGGGCCCCGAACGCAGAGGAGTAGCGAGGTGGAGGCAGGGGGGGGGGACAGATGTCCCCGGGCGCAAGCTAGTTAGGGGCGCCAAAATGTGCTTTGATATTATATTATTGGTAAAAATAATGGGTTTGAGAGTTGAAAAAAAGAAAAGGGGGCGCTTTAAGATGGATCTTGTTCCCGGGCGCGAATCTTGTCCCCGGGCGCCAAACACCCTCGCTACGCCTCTGCCCGAACGCGAGGGGGGCCCCCGTGAGGCGCCCTTGATCCCCCAGTTTTTTTTTTAAACTGGCACTGCAGCCGTCTGTGTCACTCACGTTACCTTTCTCATCCTGAAATTTATCATTCTGCGTTGAATTTGGAGGCAGGGGAAGGGAAGCAGCAGAGGGGGGGGGGGGCTTTGGGGTGGCAGATAGGAAATCGGGGGCTTGGCCATGGCAATGGAAAAGAGGAAACATTGATGAAGGCAGAATGGAGGTGCCACAGTGGTGGGTGGTGTTTTCTCCTCAGCTCGAGGGAGCTCCACCCCCGGATCCCCCCTTCGGGGGATCCAAGCTCCATGCTTAGGGCCCCCAAACTCCTAAGAACGGCTCTGCTAAATAACATTCTTTAAAATATCCCAAGTATGTTTGGTGCGTAATATTTACTATTGTTTTTTTTCTGAAATAGTTAGTGAAATAAATCTGCGGTGTAAAAGCGGATGGGATATTAGAATGTGAATATAAAATATTAAAAAATGCATAAAAAGGATTTATACGAAAAAACTTTGTTTTTAAGGGTTGTTTGATTATTGTAAGGTATATCCTAAAATGGTTTGGCTATTAAGAAGGTCAGATTTACAGCGCCACCTAGTTTCATACAATGGGAGATAAACAATTCAACTTCCGTTGTTTGCGCTCGGAAGACGTCGAACGTTCTCTGCTATTTCTTAAATAACGCCTGCACGCTTTGCGTGCCTGTATTCTTCTTTTTAAAATGGAAGTTAGTACAGAAATAAGCCAAAAGATTCGTTCTGCAATCAAAGCCAAATTGATGGAATTAGGTGCTTACGTTGACGACGAATTACCTGACTATATTATGGTCATGGTTGCCAACAAGAAAAGCCGTGCGCAAATGAGCGGCGATTTGGCTCTTTTTTTAGGCACTAATACTGATGCTTTTACTGAATGGTTGCATGGTCTGCTAGGAAAGTTACAAACTATTACTGTTGAATCTGGTGAGAAAGGCAAAATTAAAGGGGGAAAAGATAGGAAAAAGGACAAGAAAGACGGCAGTAAAGAGAAAAAGAAACTTAAAAAGCGAAGCAGTGACTCAACATCTAAAAGAAAATCTTCTATTGATAAAAATGAACAAAATCAGAAGTCAGAATCCCTTTCAGGTTCTTTGGTAGAAAGTGTCACCCAAAGTAGTGTTTTAAAAGAAGATAGTTCCAGTTCTGTAACTAAAGACCTTAGTCATGGATATGATGTTAGTGCCACAACTACAATCAGTCCAAATGTAGATGTAGAAATGGACCATCAGAAAAATAACCAAGAAGATGTAGAGGATGTCAGGCAACTTTTGGTGACTGGAACACAAGCAGATGAACTGGCTGAAGAGTTGGAAACGACAGAAGCTGAAGTAGAAAGATCAAAAGCATTGACAAGTGGAAAAAATAAGATTGCTTATGCAAAGGAAAAAGAATTGGTAACTCGTCTAGTTAGTCATTCAAGTTCAAGTACTAAAAGTAAAAGCAGGAGTCCTAGTCCAGAAAAACTTGATGCAGGATCAAGGAAACGGAAGATTCCTATATCTGTTGTTGCAAGTGTGAGCAGAAAATGTGACAATGAAGAGGAATATGATCCATACAATCCAGCTGTCGGAAGTGTTGCTAGTGTTGTCAAAGTTACAGCTCGGAAGTCCAGTGTGCCTGCTTCCTTGCAAGCCAACAGGTGTGTTGCTTGTTTTGTTGTCATTTTTATACATTACATAGCATGAGCTTGATGAATTGAAAAACTATTAATAGTAAATTTGTTGTTAATGTCCTTTCATTCCCTGCTGATCTTTTGTTACAATAATTGTTTCCACTAATGCTAAGGCAGGGCATCCAAAGCAAGCCAGTGTTACAGAATTATGGAAATACTGACTTACGCATGAGACTTCAAGAAAACTATTAAAAACCATAATTTTTTAATACAGCTTAGGGGCCATCCATAAATGACGTCACGCAAATTTTGCTGATTTTTTTACCCCCCACATCGTCATAAATCGTCACAAAAAGTTAGACCCCCCTCAAATAAAACGTCACAAATCTCTGCAACCCCCCCCCCCCCTCTTTAAAACATAAATGACGTCACGCAAATTTTGCTGATTTTTTTACTCCCCACATCGTCATAAATCGTCACAAAAAGTTAGACCCCCCTCAAATAAAACGTCACAAATCTCTGCAACCCCCCCCGCCCCTCTTTAAAAAGTCCCTGTGTCCATTACTGTCCTTCCCATGGATATCAAATTACTGCACCTGCAGACCTGCCAACTCTTCCGATTTTGTCGGAATTATACGGATTTTTTGCCCCTCATTCCAACCTTCCGACAAACCCCTTAAAATTCCGATTTTTCGAACTTTTTAATTTTTCACACATAAAAATCTGAAAGTGACCAAAAAAAAAAAAATCGGGAATGACAAGAAGTGATGCATTTGTTTTTACGAAGTGTCTACATGTCCGGCGACCCGACAAATAAGTGAATAAGTTCTCGAGCTGTTCGTTTGGCTACTATATATTTGACCAAATCACATGACCAGCTATCAAAGTTGCGTGAGATATTTGTCCGTCAGCCTTGTCATGTGACCGCTAATTGTCGATCATAGTTTACGGTACTTCATTTCAACAAATTCAAGACAAACTGAAAATTTACATGAAAAAAAATATGTACAATTCTAAAAAAAGAAATACTAGTACCATTGCTGGTAGATATATAATGAACAATTGGTTAAAAAGTGACGATGTTTTTTAAAAAGCGTGGCATGCCCACCAGATAAATATCTCCCACACCATTTGTCCAGTCGCCTGACGTGTAAGTGTAGACACTGACTTGTTTTTATCGAAGCAAACCGCGATCTCCAAATCATTCTTCAATCAACAATTGATCCGATAGACTACAAAATAATTCAGACTTTTTTGTTAAAGCATTTCTTAATTAAATGGTTAAATCTATTGAAAGTGGTGGGTACAATAATATATATATATATTCTAACCCCCCAAAAAAAAAAACTAAAACATGCAACTGCAGCTAAAACTAAAAGTAATCCACGTCTAATTAAAAATTTCGTTGCTAAGGAATCGGACGATTAGATCGTTTTATTTACCACCATTCTTATTGAAGGAAATATTTCTCTAGCCATCTCCGATCGTTTTAATGCTAGAGTCAAATAATGATTTCCAGACTCGCAGATTGCTAGAAGATGGTAAAGCAAAATTACTATGAAATAAGGGCAAGCATGAAAATTGATACTCTTCTAACTTGCTTGTAACTAAAATCAATTGCAATGATAACCTTCAGCTGTCCAAAGAGCTGTTGGAAAAGGGCAAAAAGACCACATGGAACTAGGAATATGCTGGCAAACTGATTTTAACAGCCTGTGTACATATGAAATTAAAATGGCTCTTCTGTCCTTTACTGTATATATATTGTATGTATATAAACATTTCCAGTCAGTGGACTCTTCAAGGGCAATAGAGGTAACTTAATATTTCTTTATTTACTAAAAAAAAGGCTTGTGCGTTAGTTTATATTAATAGATCTTAAATAAATGCCTGTGCCCCCCCCCCCCCCCCCCCCGCGGCAAACCCCCCTTCCCAATTTTTTTTTTTTCACTAATCAGGGGTTCTTAACCAGGGGTACAAGTACCTCCCGAGCCTTGAGGGGTGGAAAACCAAAAAATTTTATTCAGTGGCGTAGCTAGGAGGGGGGGGGGGGTGGACCGCACCGGCCGACACCATCTCAAGAGGTGACACTTAATTGAAAGATAGCTAATTACAGAGAACACACTGATCGGTCGAACCGAAATTCATAAAAGAATAACAGATGACACATACATTTTCCACCCATGTAACCAATCTAAATGCGTGTTTCGTTAATATTAAAATTTCAAGGTTGATGCGTCAGCAATTAGGTTACCTTATTATTAGGTCAGAAACACACCATTTTGACCATGTTTCAACGTGGAATGAGGTGTTCGGTAACTTTTGTAAGTGACGGGAAGCTATTTTTAGCTAAATTCTGAGAAATAAAACTATCCTTTGATAACAATGGGCGATTCTAAGTACGTTGCAGCTCTTAAATACAATTACCCCCTGACCTTCAATTAATTTGTTTTTGTTCTTGTATTTCTTAAACTGTGGACTAAGTTTAACAAGAAGAAATACATCGTAAAGGGGGGGTCTGTGTGACACCAACCTTAGCTACGCCACTGATTCTATTTGCTGCAATTGCTAGTTGTTGCTGATTTTTTAAAAAAAAAAGTTATGGATTTTGATTAGCGTTACTTCATACCATGGTGAATTTCATTGGCGCATTGTGTGTATTGGTAATTTTTTCCCTGTTTATGAAAAGTTAAGTAAAGAAATAAAACTACGATAATACGATAACTAAATTATTTAATTATTTTAAATTTTATTACAATGTAATTTATACGGTTGGGGGAGGGATGTTTAAAACGGAGTGGGCCTGCAACGCTGCAAAAAAGGTTAAGAATCCCTGCCCTAGAGCATTTACTAAGATACCCCCACCCCGCGGCCAACCTTTTTTTTTTCCGCTCCATCCCACTTCCCGTGTCCAGATTTAACCATAAACTCTCAAGACTGTCATTGTAACTACATTCCAATTCACCTACTACTGGGCGTCCTGTAACTTGATCAGAGGCCATTCTTCGGACCCTGCATATCTACTGTATTGATTCTCTCAGTGATAGTAGTTTTAAAATAAAATAATTATAATAATCTTTTTGTTTTTTTTAAATAATGTTAAACATTTCTGTAATTTAGTTTTATTAAGTGAAATTCTTTACAACAACATTCTGCTTTTCATATGACGTCACATGGCTTGAGGCCTCCCCATCATCACACATCATCACAAAAATCTCACACACACACGCACCCCCGACGTGTGACATCATCTATGGGTGCCCCCTTATTTGACAGTCTTGCTTTGTGTTTAATTTATCATGTTGAGTATTTTAAGTCATCAATTATCATTAACATTGAACTTTTCTAATCAGAGTTTATCCCCTTTTTCTCCCTTTTTTTGTTGCCATGTTTGTGTATATGCATGTAACATTAATTATTTTTTTGTGTAACTTATAGCCTGAGCTGCTCTTTAGTATAGAACATTTTATAAACTATGTTCTGCTCTTATTTCTAATGTCTAAAGAACTGGGTAGAGCATACTTTTTATAATTTAGAGCATGATTTGTTGGTTCTTGCTCTTCTTTTTTCATTAACGCAAAATGTGCTTTAACCAACTAGCTGTGGAATAGTAAATTTGTATAAATGAAGGAATTGTTTTTAAAATTTTAAATAACTAGGCCAAAGCAAAATTTAATATAATTGTGCCATCCTTACATTGGAAATTTAGCCCTTTTTGGGGGAAGGTGGGTGTTTGTTTTTTTATTTTTCCTTTTTGAATGTAAATATCTCTTGCAACTGTAAATTCAATTTATTATTACATTTTCATACCATTTTTATTTTATAAATTGGTACCAAGTATACTCCCAAACATCTGCAAAATATTGCATTGATGTTTGCGCCATTTAAGTGACATCTTATAAGTTGAATTAGATTCCAGTCATTACAATGCATATTATGTGTTGTCTGGAATTTTATTTTAATTAAAACCTTTCAAATAAAATATATAGAATTTCTTTGAGCTGTTCAAGCTGCTGAATTTTTACAATCACTGATCTCAGTGATAATTCCTTGCTAAAAATATCCTGATATTTGTTTGAGGTTACCAACTCATAAAACATATGACTGATTTCACTGATACATATTTGATGTAGGCATAGGTGTTCACTGAGTAGGTCCCACTGTGTTCAGATGCAGAAATTTTATTTATATTTATGTGTTAGTGCAGCTGTCAACAACCTGCAGCCCTGGAGCCATATGGGGCTCTTTGAATGAATAAATTCAGCTCTATAATTTAAATTTGGACTTTAAAATCAGTGAATAAATAAACATGCAACCATGCCATTGTTAATGTTACAGCATGGTCCGTGCTGTAACATTAAACATTGTCAAAAGTGGGTGGGAGGAGATGGGTATATTGAAGCACTAACTTAGTTAATAGGATCAAGAGAAGATGCTCTTGGCATTTAAGTGATCCACCACTCATGCCTTTCCCTTACATTTCTTGTCCAAAAAAATGTGTAGAAAAAAATGGAAGTTTTTTTTACAATTCCTCTAGTTCCTCTAATCTTATTTTGTTTTCACCATTCCGTTTAATTAAACTTTAAATTTCTTTAAACTACAAAATATGCCTACAGAGAGGTCCATTAACTTATAGTAATTATACTACTAATAATTTTAAACAAGCCCTGCTGTCTGCTCAATATGCATGCACACTGATAAAAATATGACGATATTGTGCCTGTATATTTTCAGCTGATAATATACTAAAATGTTTGGTTGAACATAACACTTGTTGATAGTGTTTTTTTGTCCATCGAGTAGCACGTGGTCATAGATATCTTGTAATTTATATGGGAACATTTACCAAGTTTAATATCTCAATAATTCAGCAGAGCATTGGAAAATGAAATACTTAAACCTCCATGGACCTCTCAGTAAAAAGGTTCCAGGGTTTTGTGAGTTGATTTCCATTGCATTATTTCTATCATGAGTTTGAATACTTCATTCGCCAAAGTAGTTCCTGTCCAAACGGCAAGAAATGGAGTCCATGAAAGAAAGGGTTAAGGACAAACAACAACCACCACCACCACCCCCCCCCCCCCCCAGACAATAATATTCTTTACAAACCATTGTACTGTTATTGTAACAATCTTTTCATTAGATATCACAATTTTAACAAAAATAAAATTACTTATTATTAGCCTTTTTATTTTGCATTTCTTAATATCCATTAATTAATTGATGTTTTGAAATGGTTTGCAGTTACCTCTCTTTGAGTTTTGGGGGGATTAAAAGAAATTACCAGAATTATTTTGTTTCAGTCTGTCTATTGCTACCTTAAATTAACAATATAGTTACTCATTTAGATTGCTTTTTATTCACAACATTTGAAATAAAGTCATTTTCATCCCTGACTTTAGATTATTCACTGAGTTTAAAAGAATGTTTCATGAAGAAATTCTTTTTATTTTTCCCATAATCTCATCAACTTTGAAACGCCTAGTGAAATTTTTCCTGATTTTGGGGGGTTTGAAGTTTCCGGTTTGAAGAAATTTCCAGTTTGCAATCTCAGGTATGTAGTAACATTTTTTCAATAGACAGACTGAAAGACTTTTTTTTCCCTTTCTTTCCTATTTTTTTTAATCGCGAAAAGATTATTATAAGTATGTATAAGCCATAGCACTTATTTAAAAACATAGTAGGTTATCTGATTTCATGTAGTGTGTATTTTGAAGCAGAACAGAAGAGATATTGATGTGAATGTTTAGATTAGTGTAACTCAAATCTTTTATTTTATATCTACGCATAAGTATATATATTTTATTTGAAACTTGTGTCAGGGTTTGTTCTTATTTATCCTCCAGAGAATCAGATGACAAAGACAGTCAAGCATCTAATGTGGATGGTGGTGCAGTGAGTTTGGGGGAGCCACCTTCCAAAATGATCAAACTATCTGAGATAGGACATATAGATGACATAAAGAAAGCCCTAGAGGAAGTGTTGAAGAAAAGCCAGGAGCACCTTGACGACATATCACATTTTTCTAAGATGGTAGAGTCATCTTTACGAAAGTTAAGACCACAGGTTGTATCACTTGCAAAGATCAGGATTGAACAGGTTTTTTTCGAATTGGAGAGCGAGGAATATGTGCCACTGCAGAGAGCTAGTGATGTTAACTCAAAACATATTCTTTGCAATAATCACAACCAAAATAAAAGTGTCAAGTTACCATTAGAAAAAAGCAAAAAGACAACAGAATCAGTTGTTCTGACTCCTCATGGCAGCGATAGTCCATTGCCGGCACAAAACTTAACATCAGCTGTAAAGAAAAATTCTGAAATTGCATCCATTTACAGCTCCAGCAAATTAAAACACTCTCCCTTGGTTAAAGAGGCTGCTGGGGTTTCTAATAATAGTTTTAGAGATAGTAACAGATTGTCTACATTTGAAGCTGATTCTAAGTCTAAAGGAAATAACACTGAGAGAATAATTTTCCGTCCCAACTCAAAACTTGTGAGCTCTGAAGTAAGTAGTATGAAACTCTCAACATCGGCCGGTACACTTTCAGTTGCAGTTAATCCATCATCAAAAGGAGAACGGGCCAGTAGCCAGCCAAAGACTCTTTCTGCTGATTCTGCAGGGAAAATCAGAGAGAGGAGGTTTTCTGAACAAAAAAAACTCCAAGATGCCACCCCCCGGTCTCCAGTCTCATCAAGCAAAATTGACTCGGGTTCTCCCAGCTCTGTGCATTCTTGCCCATCAAGCAGCACTTCAGGCTTTGAAACTTTGGCGGTAAGACGGTGTATAGTCACTACTTCCACTGTTTCAAGAGACTCCACCTTATCTCCCACTGACTCCAGACATGAAAAATGTACCACTTCACAACCTGAGCCTAATTTGTTAAAAACTGGCCTTGAAAAACCTGTAGCCTCTATCTTGGTAGACTCTATCCACAACAAGCGTAGACCTGATGCAGAGTCTACTTCTGTCCTTAAGCAGAGCTGGAACAGAAGTCCTGGTTTGAAAGGGGGAAGCATAGCAGACTGTGAAGATGACTTGCCTCGGATTAGCTCTGAAGCTCTTAAAGTTATGGCTAAAAATCTCAAAGTAACCGTGATAAATAAACGGGCCACGAGGTTGCAGGATGCTTCCAGTTCTGAAGACTCTAGTTCTGATGAGGATGATGATGATGATGATGACGGCGAAAGCTCTGATGATGAAGAGGAACTTGGTGATGAAGAAAAGAAGAGTTTAGATAAAGGAAATGAGAACAGCAAATCCAGCCTATAAATGTATTTTTATTTTGTTTTAAAAATATATCTGTGGTAAGATTTATGTTTGCACAGAACTAGATATTAAGTTTGTTAATGCAAATATCTTAGTTTTATTGCAACAAAACATGTATGCAATATTGTCTTTTGTATACAAAAAAATGTACTGTTATGCTAATATATTATATGATTTCATGTGCATGATCAAATTCTCAGTTGTTTTTTTGTTCCTCTCTAAACAAAGGCTGTGAATTATTCAGTTGTCTTTTAAGTTTAAGTATAAGTTTTTGGCCTTTTTAAGTTGAATAATTTTTCAAAGGCAGCAAGAGCATCTTGACAACCACATCTTTTTTAATTTTTCAGAAATAAGTGTTTTATGTATGTTGTTAGCATCAACTATTTAACATCAGCACACATATACAGTGATTATTTTCCATGTGCTGAAATAATTGATTGTTATAAATACTTAATGACTCCATCTATGAAATCTGTCATAGTCATTATTAACCCATTAACTACCACAGGTGTTATTTTTATAAACTTTTCCCAAGGTCACTAGCTGCTCACTTGTATTGGGCAACTGATTAGGCAACACAATTATAAACTAATCATAATTATTTAAATATTTAATGATAAAGTCATAGGTTTAATCATTGTCAAAATTGTGCTTATATTCTGGTTCTCATCTAAATCTATTAACCATATTGTTCTTGAGTAAAGACTGCTTCTCATTATAAACCTCACCCTTAAAGTTGAGTGATTTTTTTTTTTAATTTGCAACCTCCTGTTTGTAGGCAGCATCCCTAGTGAGATTGTGGGGGCTGCCAATATTTGGAACTATAAAACTAATTATTTTTCAATGTGTAATTTTTTCTAATCAGTATGTGAGCGTTGAAATTCTGAGCCAGGTCAAACAGAACCTGATGCTTTTTCTTTTTTTTTTTAAAGAGTTACCTGCTTATTTTCTGTAAGTGTAACATATTCCAAATGGAAGAAATGAATAGTGCATGTTTTGAGCCAGTACATCTTCTTTTACATAAATTTGTGTACATTTTACCTGAATTAAATAAAATAATAATCGCATAATAATTAGTGATTGGTTTGAAGCTAAATGAAATGAGAAGATTTGAAAATGATATGTACTTGCTGCGAATTTTTTGTAATTGTCTTAGAAATATGCATATCTGTGGTTAAGACCATATCAGGTTCTATTTACAATTAATATTCTCATTTCACATGCTGACTGGCTGATGTTACTGGGTAACCAAAGTTTTTATGTGTGTGGATCATTTCTAAGTTTTGTCATAGAATTGTATAATAGTTATGTAATTTAACACTTATTTAATAAGTGAAGCTATTGGCTTAACAGAATGAAGGCTAGGAGTAAAATGTGCAATTTTTATTTTTCAAATTTCAATTTTAAAATTTAAATGCATACAGTGATCAGACTAGTTTCTTATTGTTACTACTACAGTCTTGAATATGCTAAAGCTACATATAAAAAAACATTCAGTAGAGTGGTTGCCAGCAGCTAATTGAATATAAATATTATAGCAGGTTCTTTTTTCATTAACAAAAATTGTTTTTATGTTGTTGTTTTTTTTTCTTTAATTTAAAAGTGGCAGCTTCCACCCACAACTATAAATGATGTGAGAATTTATGAATAATATTCTAGGGATTGACTTAAAAGCCCCCATTATCAGAACCGTCCACCCTTATTTCTAAAGAGGTTGAGAACCGCAGAGTTAGGATTATATTATTAAGCTATTAGTGTTTTGAAGGCTTCAACTTTGATACCTTCATGGGCGCCACGGGTTTTAGCACTTTTAACTTCTCCCCATTTGGTGAAACACATAGAAAATGAAAAGATAACACTTTTTTTTTGTAACACTCAGACCCCACCAGGTGTTGTCTCAAAATACCTAGATGGGTGTAAAAAAAATCTGCACCTTGCTCAGCCTTAGTTGATACGTCGTCTGGGAATAGGAAGTCTACTCTAGTTAGAAAGCTCTCATACAAGCCCCCACCACTTCAATGCCATATTTGCATGTCCAAACTTTTTACGTTTGCTTACTGATACCCACGTATTCGTCCATTCCCAACACATGCAGATCTTTTATATGTGGAACCAAAATTTTATATTGTATTTTCTGATCATTTTTTTGTTACAGTAAGTTATAGAAGCAATATTTTAGATTTAATAATTATACAATGTATAAATCTATTGCAATTAGATGGCAATTAATTCCCAAATTATCAGTTGATAAAATGTCAAGACTCCTCAAAATGGAGTCTTGCAAGGTGTCTTTTTTTTTTTAATTTTAAAATATTTCTTCATAAAATAACCTGACAACTACAGGGATGTTTGACTAACTGCTTAAAATACTTAAGATAAAAAAATTTAAAAACTTACTTAAAGTAGATATTACTTAGTTCAATTTCAGTTTAATTACCTTATCTTTTCTTCAACAGATTACAAGTTTACACTTCCCAAAATTCATAATCATTACCCAATTTTTAATTGACTTGAAAATAACCCTTTTCAAATCTCTTCTTTAGGGCATTACTCATGAAGGCAATGTCAGATGCTGAGAAATCCATTGCCGTTAAACGAAAGATTGCTGTGACTCGACCAATAAGTCGGGGTGATTCACCTGCTGAAGTTTATTCCCCTAAAAGGAAGAAATCTGATCCAACACGTGATGAGGAGAGTCCACCCCCATACTTTCCATCTAGGAAAGAAGCTTCAAGTCGTCGGAGCAGTGGCCAGCATTTAGAGCAACGTACACTGTCCCGCAATGATGCAAGACATACTTTAAGTCGGGACGACAGGCGAGAGCTGATATCTCGTTCTCGGCGCGAAGAACTGTTACGGACAATAGGTATTGACCGTAGTAAATCTCACAAATCTGATGCATCCAAGTCACCTGAGAAAAATAGGGAGCACAGTGACAAGAATGCCCAGTATGAAAGAAGAGTGAGGAGTGATAGAAATGTTGGTGAAGTAAAAAACTTCCATATCACCACACGAGTTGTTTCACCACAATCCAAAAAAACTGTCGTAGTCAATCAGAGCTCAAATCCTGCTGTTGAACAGAGATGTTCTGTTACATCTCGACTAGGTAAGGTTGTGGTTGAAAGGAAAACTACCCCAGAACCGGGAGATGACAGAGAGGATAGAAAGCCTAAAGATGCTCAATCATCAAAAATAAGAACTGATCACCGAGACGCAAGGCATGACATTAAGTCAAGAGCAGCCCATTTGAAATCGGAACACATAGCACCGAAAAAAAGTAGTGCTAGGGTTATATCCAGATTAGGCAAGGAAGCTGTCCAGAAACAATGTGAGGCAGCAGTTATGTCAGTGAACTCTTCCAGGGTTGTTGATAAAGCTAAGAGCAATGCGAGCCCAGACAGTCGAGTTGTATGTTGTGATGAATCTGGCAGTGGGGACGAAGAGGAAGACCTCATCAAAGATAGAAATATAACAATCGCACATGAATCAACTGACAGTAGACGCCATAAGGTGGAGGATGATGACCCAGAAGATCTGGCAGAAATGATAGCTGATGACCTTGAACCTGAGCTACTAGATTCCAGGGAAGAGTTTACACTAGATTTAGAAGATGAAGATGACATAACTAATGTTGTGGGTGATCTGGATGCTGAGGAAATGGAAGAAGAGTCTGTTGCCCCTGAGAAAGCCGATGAAGGCAAACCAGGCACTAGGTTTATTGTTACGTTAGATGGTGTCGATGAAAGACAGTTTGATCCCGCCGATGCCGTCCTATATGACAAACTTGGACAGCCCCTTTCCGAGCTGGCATCGGGCAGTCTGCCATTACAAAACCTTGAGCAAAATGAGAAACTTTATTTGGACCTTCTGGCTCAAACCAGGCCTTTGCCACAATCACCACTACAGCAAACCATTCACCCACTGACACGGGGCAACAAACTTCAGCCTCCTAAAATTCAAACATTTTCCATCAACCTTAAGGATTCTGACGATGAGCATGAAGATAAAGAAATGAAGCCCTTCACAGTTAAGGACACATCTTATGACCAACCCATGGCAACTGGGGAGGAAGAACTTGAAATATCAGCTATTAAGAAAGTCAAAATGACAGAGAGGTGCAAATTTTGGCCTGCCTGTGCAGTTGGGTCAGCATGTGAATATCATCATCCCACTACTCATTGTAAAACATTTCCTAACTGTAAATTTGGTGACAAATGCTTGTTCATTCATCCCAACTGTCGATTTGACTCCAAGTGTACCCGCCCTGATTGCCCATTCACTCACACGAGCCGCAGAACTAATATTGGAAACACTCCACATGTCATTGCCATACCACAACCTCGTCTCATTTTTACTCAAGCACCATTACCACCTCACTACGCTTCATATGGAGCTCCCAGTTTCGCAAGCTCTCAGACAACCTGTCGTTTTTATCCCAACTGTTACAATGTCAATTGTACTTTCTTGCATCCCAAACCCTGTCGTTTTGGAGTGGCATGCACAAGCCAGGGCTGCCCATTCTACCATCCCCCTCCACCAGGGAAAAGTAAACTGAAATGGCAGGCACAGCTGGGTCTGCCCAAGACAAGTTTGCCAGATACAACCAAAGTAGAATCGGCTGCTTCCAAATTGAGCCCTTCCAATTCGACAGCAGTGTCATCTACAAGCCAATAAAATATTAACTGAATACAGATTCAAATAACTGTGATTCTCCGAGTATTTCTTAACCTTTTTTTTTTAATTCAATGAGTCAAATACAAATCCTCAAAAGAGGTAAAATAATTATTTCATTTTTATTTTTTAATCAACAAGCTTTAGTATCAGTTGCTTTTGTGTGCAATTAATTTTAATGAGGTTACCATGGAATCGGCAGTCTTGCATTTTCTGGCTATGTTGTTTATAACATTACATTCATTGCATCTCAAGTGTAAAAGTTGGGTAACTACTGTTACAACTGTACCATTTATGAGAAAAATGGCACTAGTATTTTGTTAGAGGGAATTTTTAATTTATATTATTTTCCTTTAAAATCAAGTCACTTTTTTTTATAATGTTCTGTTTAAAATCATTAATGAATCATTTAAAAAAAACAAGTCTTGGTTATGATCAGTATTTCTTTCAAGTGGTCACAGTACAAAAAAATATAGTTTTGCACTGTTGTAGACTTGTTAAACAGCACACATTAAAATTAAACCATTAACTGACTGCAGCAGGATTGACGCCAGGTGTTTTTTTTTTGTTTTTTGCATAGTCTGAGCAGAAACATACTAACAGAGCCTAGTAAAGTAACCAGTGGTGTGATTTTGACTGCAGCTATTTGTGTGTATGAGTCATATGAGTGTTTCAAAGTTTTAGTACCGGTATTTTGTCTATTAAAGATATTATATACTGTATCTGATATACCTGGCCTTTAAAGTACGGTTGACTTATTTTAGTGACATGAACTGTTACTTTTGCTTTGACAAAGAAAAATACAAATATTTGTAATCCAACCTGAAGTTAATGATAGTTAAGAGAAAAGATGTGTTTACAATTTTATCACAGCATTAGCTATATGTTAGACCTTGTGGTGTAATGTATTACTTTTAATCTAAATATTTCTATTAATTTCCCCTTTTCAATATTAAGTACCCATTTTCGAGAAAATCAATGGGATGATGAAGCCAATTTGGTCATGTGCAATGACTTTATATCTAATAGCATGGCTTTCTTGGTTTAAAACTTCACATACATTGAGATACTTTTTTTTTTTTAATTTATTTTAAAAGTACATTGTTAAAGAAAATTTTATATAAATGCGACTTCTGGTAGAAAATTGTTTGTAACATTAGCTAGGATTAGGATGTAAAAAAAGAAGAAAAAAATTAGCAGATAGCATGGGGAATTAAGGATTAAATTTTTAAAGAATTCTGATAACTATATAATTTATATAATTATTTGTTTATAACTGGTACAAGATTTGACTTGTACTTGTCTCCCAAGAAACATAAATTTGCTATGTATTGTACATAATTGATTCTTGCAGTCTCAAGTCCCTTGTTTACTATTTTCAATAAAACATGTTTTTAAAATTTTAATAAAACCCTCTGCATCTTTGTGTGAATTTATTCCTGAACAAATTGAGGACATGGATTTTTAAATCCTTTATATTAAATTTGCTTTTGTACATGTGTTTATTTAAGGCAAAATCTTCAGATGGCATCATCAGTGGCACGTAGACTTGCAAAAGTTTTAAGCCCAAAACCAAAAATCAGTTATAACGCTACCCGATGCCTAATGTGGTTCTTAAAAATATCACAAGTGCGTTTGTTGCAAATTATTTTCTTTTACAGAAATGGTGTAATAAATCTTGGTGAAAAAGCAGGTGGGACATTAGAATATGAATATAGTTCAGGGGCGCTTTATTAGGATTCATATAATCTGTGTTACTTGAATGCATTTTTTGTCAAATTTCAGCTCAACTCCCCATTGCTCGGTATTACAGTTTATAAAAGATTTAAAAAGTGTTTTAATAACTAATGAAACTGAAGCTATAATTTAAAATTAGCAATTCAATCTCAAAACAGTTATCACATCCAAACCAAGGTCACAAGAAGCAAAACAAAGTTGAGTTGCATATATTTATTTATATTTATATTACACTTCTCCTAGAGAAGAAATAAACAAAAAGCCACCTAGAAAAAAATAATTCTTGAGGAGCTGAGTAAATTAAATGTATTCAAAAGGACAAGTATAAAAACAGAATAATTAAAACTTACCAAAAACCTATGCATTTAAAACAAAATGCTAGAAAAGGCAATTTATTGTCTAAGGGGTTTTAAAAACAGTAGAGGGCCATTGTATTTGGTGAGAGCCACCTAAAAATCTTAATTCAGATAATATAATTTTCAATCTTGTATATTTTTATGCCAACTTTTTGTATCAATGTATGTAAATTGGGGGGGGAGGGGGGAGAGAGAATTCCACTGATGGTATAAGGTGTGTAATAAGGAAGAGCTGTGCTGTGAACAAATATTTGTTTAAGTTGAAGCACATGGAAACATAATTAAACCTGGCTAAACTAAATGTTAGTAGTATTTTATAGTAAAAATTTGCAGTTCTTTGTTTTAAAATTTAAAGCATCCCCCTACGTAAAGTTTTGACTACATATAAAGCAAATACCGTTACCTATGTAAAAGATCGCACAAATTGAAATAATTCCATAAGTCTCCCTGGTACTTTTCAACAAGTACAAAGTCCAAAATGAAACATTCAATTTTCGTGTGGTAAAAATTCAAGCCATTTCATCCTTACCACACATACAATGCATGAAAGAACCAATAAACAATTTAAATTCATCTTTTCTTATATGCAGTTTTCTGGTTTCTGCTATTCTATATAGAAATAGTAACTGGATAAAATTTCCAAGAAAAACTCTTATCAATTTACTATTTCTTAATAAATTGTGTTCTGTTTAAAGCTAATGACATTAGTTATTTAAATAACCTTTTGATAATTAGCTTTTCCACTGTTTTACTGAACATCCTACAGTGTCGGACTAAGAAACAAATTGCACGAATTCCCACAGAAACATTGTCTTGAAAAATATATATTCAAATTCAGTTTACAACTTACCAACAAAGCATTTCATACCACAAAATCAGCCATTTAACATGATGCATGATCTCAAACTTGTTGTTCTTTAATAATTTACTATATTATACTATATACAATTTTTTAATGTATTTTTTCCATGGAAATCATACACATAGGTAAAGACATAACTAAATATGCCAGTGTCTCTATTTGGTACAGGCTACCCTTATGTCAAACTAACAAGATTTTACAGCTTTTTTTTTAAACCAGTCGCTGTCTGTACCTATAGCTCAGTTGTTTACTCTGAGTCACAGATGGATAGCAGATTTAAGCACTGAAATGTGTAGGTTTTTAACTAAATATCACCTAAAAATAAAAGAGCTGCTCAAATCATTCCCAGTGCTGTTGGACCTTTGTTAATGTCATTCATTTAAACAAGCCAATCACATTTTCTATGCAATAAACTAATTTAAAAACTACCTGACTGATCTTATTATACGGAATGCTGCTTAACAAACATGCAATTTACAAAATTACTTGATTTATAATGTACAGTCATTGTGTACTTGTGTGTTTTCCAAATCATAATTCTTATTAAATCTTCCAAGTGTTTTCAATGCAACTGCTTGTGTTGGTCCTTGTAGTCTTGTTCCATGAAAGTGTCCTAGAGTAGAAATAATTATATACCGTAGCAATAAAGCAAAGAAAAAAAAACAATTCTGACAAGCTTAACTAATTCTCCCACAATATCAGCTTTTAAATTCATTTTGAAATCAAGGTTTTCAGTGGTTTAATTGCTTTATTGAATAATATTGAAAAATATGTTTCTTCACTTGGTTATACTATAATTCTTATTTACGCCCAGTAACCCAGCGCTCTTATTATAATTGAAATATTAACAAAATTAAGGTGCCTAAAATCAAATACATTATGCACTTTCAAAGTCAAAGTACACAACGGTACATATTGACATTATGAAAAATAAGCAAATGATTTAATTAGCGTCTGCCAATTAATCTGTAAAGGGCCCATTGCTTATTGGTGCAGGCCAAATTTTTAATCACTTTGGTTTCGAAAAACTATTATAATACTATTACTTTTTCCACCTTCAGGTAATGAGCTAGAGAAAATTATTTGGGCCCATAATAAGAACAGAACTTATACTCACAAAGGCTGCCGATTGGTCAAAGTGCGTCGAGACAATGGGTTGTTTGCTTCCCTTCTTACAAGTCCATCGCCACCTAGGCCCAACATTTTTTGAGCTCTTGCAAATGTTGGTTGCATGTAGTTAGGACGTGACATTCCTGTGTCTTGATGGAATTGACAAAAGAATTTATTAAATCTTCTTCATACTCTGTTTTTTTAAATTAATTCTCTATCTCTTTTCACACCTTAATTTAAAAGAATTTTTAACCAGTTGAAATAAAATCTAATATAGGAAAAAAGAGTGAACATTATAACTGTCAAGAAAATTTTTCTGAAGAGTCAGGCCATTTTTAGCATTTTCATATGCTTGTCAAAGGTGACAAAATCCCAGACTAAATGAATGCAGTGACCCTTACGAGTATACATTTTCTAAATTCAACCCAAACTAATGCTCCTTAAATTGTTAAAACCATCATAAAATGAAGTTTTGAGATACTTAGAAGTACAAGCAATATTCTTTTAGAAAATGTCAAAATATAGTTACTTATATTGAAAATTGTAATAGTGGTGAATTTTTTTCATTCACTACTTTCAAATTTCTTTCATTAATTAAAATATAAGGGGGAAGGTTCAAAATAAGTTCAAAAATTCCTTTTCAATTAAATCCATTTTTTTATTAATTATTACTCCAGAACATATACAAAGATAAATGTCTTTGGGATCCAATCTTTCTCTTTTTTCTGTTCAATTTCCACCCTTACCCAAAGGAATTTATTTGTGACAATACAACTAAGCTAAGGGATAAAATTGTCAATATCTGACTTCACCTGTACAGCTAATGTTGTCATTACTAGGACACGGAATATCTAAGCTAATATTCATAAATTGAAATTCTTATTAGTTGTAGTTCAATCAGCCAAACTAATTCTGTACTTAAATAAATGACAAAGTGCACTACTAAATAAGTAATAGCTCAATGAGGGCATTTACTTTCAGAAACATCTGGCTTGTCAGTGTCCTTTGGCAGCTCCAGGGAGCAGACAGCCCTGTTTTTCCTGTTATGTGTGCTGTAGGGGTTAGATGACATTGCTCTGTGTTGTCTTCTCTGCTTCCAGCTGTTGGCCCGATCTTTCAAATGTGTCTTAAAACTTGTCGATTCCGAAGTACTGCTGTCACATGAAGATGTTTGGCTTTGGGAACTGGAATGAGGAAAATGGTTCAACAAAAGCTTTTTTAAAGTGGGCACTCTTCTTTTTTGACAGAATTACATTAAAAATTCATTAGCTTAATCTTTTAAAAATTGTGCAACAAATTTTGTATTAAGATAAATTATCCAAGCTTATCTCTGGTCTTACATTACAGGCTTTTGTAGAAATGGTGGAAGTGTATTTGTACAAAGAACTCTTAAAGGCTGCCGTAACTCCAAGGCATCACCCCCAGGCTCTGAAATGAATGACAAACATTGTGGTAATGCGCAAAATTTTTCCAATACGGAACATTTCAAGAAAATTTTATTTTAAAATCAAAATCATGTGTATATAGAAAAAACAATATGATTAATTCTAAAAGTGCACACAAAAAAGTGCAAACTCTTTCTGCTACAAAATTTTGGCCAAAAAAACTACATTTGTATTTTGCAACAATTGGTTCAGAAAAAAAAATAATCATTTAACTTGGCACAATCATTTGACATCAAGTTAATAGTACGGTAATCATAAATTGTAACTGATGTGCAATATTGCTCTGTTTGCCTTTGCATTGTGTGTGCAAATGTGATATTATGATGAAGTACTTGACCTCACCCTTTCACCTTTGTCAGAAAAGTAAGTTCCTATATAATGATTGCTCCTTGCCCTATCAATATGACAAAACACTGCAATGTTCTTGGTTTCTTTTTACCAGCGAGTTTCACTTTGGTATAGCAACACTCAAACAGTGCCTGGGACTGGTTGTTTGAAAGGGTTAACAGAAAATAAATAAAATAAAATTTGATCATGGGTTAAGTATAAAACTTACTGGATGACAGCACTTCCTGCACTGGTGGGTGGTTGAATTTGATTGATGTAATGATATTCCCAACAAAAGGGTTGAAATCTGGTGTCTTCATGACACCTTCCATGGGCTCACCAACCCTGAAATAAGGCAATGCAATGCAGGTGGAATTAAGGCAATATAATACTGGTGGAAATCAAGTGATTGCTGCTTCAACAAAAACATAAAAGATATTAGATGGTTTCTGAGGTAGTGATTTCATTGTTGACTGTGTGAGATATATGGTTACTGAGGTAGTGATTTTATTGTTGACTGACTGTGTGAGATGTATGGTTACTGAGGTAGTGATTTCATTGTTGACTGTGTGAGATGTATAGTTACTGAGGTAGTGATTTCATTGTTGACTGTGTGATACATGGTTACTGAGGTAGTGATTTCATTGTTGACTGACTGTGTGAGATGTATAGTTACTGAGGTAGTGATTTCATTGTTGACTGTGTGATACATGGTTACTGAGGTAGTGATTTTATTGTTGACTGACTGTGTGAGATGTATGGTTACTGAGGTAGTGATTTCATTGTTGACTGACTGTGAGATGTATGGTTACTGAGGTAGTGATTTCATTGTTGACTGTGTGATACATGGTTACTGAGGTAGTGATTTCATTGTTGACTGACTGTGAGATGTATGGTTACTGAGGTAGTGATTTCATTGTTGACTGTGTGAGATGTATGGTTACTGAGGTAGTGATTTCATTGTTGACTGTGTGATACATGGTTACTGAGGTAGTGATTTCATTGTTGACTGACTGTGTGATGTATGGTTACTGAGGTAGTGATTTCATTGTTGACTGACTGTGTGATATATGGTTACTGAGGTAGTGATTTCATTGTTGACTGACTGTGAGATGTATGGTTACTGAGGTAGTGATTTCATTGTTGACTGACTGTGAGATGTATGGTTACTGAGGTAGTGATTTCATTGTTGACTGACTGTGAGATGTATGGTTACTGAGGTAGTGATTTCATTGTTGACTGACTGTGAGATGTATGGTTACTGAGGTAGTGATTTCATTGTTGACTGACTGTGAGATGTATGGTTACTGAGGTAGTGATTTCATTGTTGACTGACTGTGAGATGTATGGTTACTGAGGTAGTGATTTCATTGTTGACTGACTGTGAGATGTATGGTTACTGAGGTAGTGATTTCATTGTTGACTGACTGTGAGATGTATGGTTACTGAGGTAGTGATTTCATTGTTGACTGACTGTGAGATGTATGGTTACTGAGGTAGTGATTTCATTGTTGACTGACTGTGAGATGTATGGTTACTGAGGTAGTGATTTCATTGTTGACTGACTGTGAGATGTATGGTTACTGAGGTAGTGATTTCATTGTTGACTGACTGTGAGATGTATGGTTACTGAGGTAGTGATTTCATTGTTGACTGACTGTGAGATGTATGGTTACTGAGGTAGTGATTTCATTGTTGACTGACTGTGAGATGTATGGTTACTGAGGTAGTGATTTCATTGTTGACTGACTGTGAGATGTATGGTTACTGAGGTAGTGATTTCATTGTTGACTGACTGTGAGATATATGGTTACTGAGGTAGTGATTTCATTGTTGACTGACTGTGTGATATATGGTTACTGAGGTAGTGATTTCATTGTTGACTGACTGTGAGATGTATGGTTACTGAGGTAGTGATTTCATTGTTGACTGACTGTGAGATGTATGGTTACTGAGGTAATGATTTCATTGTTGACTGTGTGAGATGTATGGTGACTGAGGAAGTGATTTCATTGTTGACTGACTGTGTGAGATACATGGTTACTGAGGTAGTGATTTTATTGTTGACTTACTGTGTGAGATACATGGTTACTGAGGTAGTGATTTTATTGTTGACTGACTGTGTGAGATACATGGTTACTGAGGTAGTGATTTTATTGTTGACTTACTGTGTGAGATACATGGTTACTGAGGTAGTGATTTTATTGTTGACTTACTGTGTGAGATACATGGTTACTGAGGTAGTGATTTTATTGTTGACTGACTGTGTGAGATGTATAGTTACTGAGTTAGTGATTTTATTGTTGACTGACTGTGATACATGGTTACTGAGGTAATGATTTTATTGTTGCCAGACTAGATCCAATAAAATCTGAAAATCATTAATCACTATTCAGTGCTGACAGAATGATGAAATGAAAATTAATGTTGTTGTTTGACAACTTCTTTTGTCATTGGTTCAAAGTCATCTTCACTTACCAGTTGTTTAAAACAGGTGTCATAGGCAGAGTGGAAGATAAACCCATGTTGGCTTTTTTGCTGACCACAGGGGACTTCACAACATCAGCATATGTTTTGGGACCTGGAGAAAACATTGGGTGACTTTCACAGCTTCATGGACATGTTTGGAGAATGTTTCTGATATCAAATTTCTATTTCTTACCAAATTAACAAACAAATTTGTGATTTAATAGTGCAAGAATTCAACAATGACCATGTCTAAAAGGTTAACATTTAAACTATTACTATTAGTTGTTCATATTCACAAAATTTGCTTCAGATTTGATTTGAAAAATATCAGTATCGGTAGCAAGAAAACTGAACCCAATTTTTTACTTACTACTGCTCAGCGAATGGACGTTATTGGCATTGATGCAGCACGCAGACGTCAAGGGCCTGGACTTCTCTCTAACACTTGGTGGGTCTAAGAAAGATGACTTTAAGGTGTTGATGTTGTTGAGGCTGGATGTTGTCGGGGACTGCCTGGTGGCACTCAGTGGAGATATGCATCCCGTCCTGTTAGTCACCTGTCCTGAGAAAGCACTTTTGGGTTTATTCTGACCCTGCCTGGTGTTGATCTCCATTGAAACTCTCCTGGACTTGTCGTCTCTTTCATTCCCCCTGGGAATCCATGGGATGGAGGAGTAGGTGGAGCCGCAGGATTTGATAGGGAGCCTAGACACGGGGCTTAGAGCAGAACTTCCCTCCATTTTGTTGTCCTTGACCCCTTGTAGTTTATTTCCCACATCTTCAGTTTGTACGTCTGGCTTTTGAGCAAGGGCCAATTTTTCGTTAGGTTGAAATTTTTGTTTGTTCAGCTCGTAAGGTGGTCGCTGATGGGGAAGAGGGAGAGGTCTCAGCACCGTCTGACTTTCCAGTTTGCTTCTCTGAGAGCTGTCAATACAAGGAGTGTTGAGCAGTGCAGGCTTGAGCACTTGGAATGTGTCGTTTAAATTGTCCGTGCTCGACGTCTGAGATGGGGTCTCGGACACAGGCTTGCTGTCCAGCCTCCCAAACAGGCAGAGCTTGGCCAAAGGCACAGCTCCGATGTTGGGTAAGCTGGAACTGGGGCCCGCGGTCTTAGCAGCGCCTGAACTCTTGGACTGGTGAACTTTCTCCCCACTCATCGACTCGGAAGGGACAAGCACACTATCGCCAAAGCTCATGCCAGAGGCAGACAAGGTCTCAAGGGGGCTGTCGGTATCCTTGACCGAAACCTGGCCTTGACGTTTTGGACATCTGTCCGAAGATGCATTGAGAATTTCCAGCGAGTTTACGTCACAGTTTTTCTTGAGTTTAATTACTTCTCCTTCAGCGTTTGTGAACTCGGCAGCAGTCAGGGGACATAATGTGGCCTCTTCTTGGGGTGTGTTACAGTTGGCTGATGTTTTTGTATTGCGATCACCACTTCCTAAGCCCTGTCATACAATAGAGAGTAAGATGTCCTCAGTCCAGAGTTTTGACATTGAAGATTTATAAACTTCATAAAATAACAAACTTTTAACATGACTTAATTTTGTAATGAGAAAAATTTGGAGAACTAATTTTTCTTTCATTGTAGAATACTGTCTAGGTCAAGGAATCCTGAGGGAACGTTTCATTCATAAATAGGTTAAGTGAGCTGCTGTAATTAAATAGAATAAAAGTATGTCTCAAAGACATGTGCGCCCTTAAGTAGAAAGATGTTAAAGCAATGCTTAATAAATAGGTTGAGTGAGCTGCTGTAATTAAATAGAATAAAAGTATGTCTCAAAGACATGAGCGCCCTTAGGTAGAAAGATGTTAAAGCAATGCTTAATAAATAGGTTGAGTGAGCTGTTTAAATTACATGCAGCAAAAGCCCACGTCCCAAGGACATTTGTGCCCATGTCCAAAAGAGGTTTGTGTCCATTGGTTGCGTGTTTTTAAATGAGTGGGTATATATACTGGGACTTATAGAGAGAACCATCAGATAGTTGTAGAGAGCTTGAGGATACGGGACTTTGTAGTGTATTTGAATGGAGAGGAAGTCCTTTTAGCAAGCATTAGTCCACTGAGAAAGCTATCGTTATTCATGTACAATCAAGCCTAGACTACTCTTGTAAACAGATGTACAAGTGTAAATAAGCTCTTCAATCTTGTTAACTTGGCGTTGGAGTTTCAATTGTTCTTCGTCAACCCAACCACGCTGCATCTATCAATCAAGCCCTTCAGTAACAAACAGAAATCTAATAGCTTGACATACTGCCAACCACAACTATAGGACCGCGGCAAACAACAAAAAAACATTTTATAGATGAAAAATATGATAACAAAATCCTAAAGAAGTAAATTATATCTTTATACATTTATCATTGTTCATTTTTTTTTTTTATTACTCAAATTTGTAAGTTTAAAACTAGACGTTTTATTAATATGTAAGCTAAATGCCACAGGCGGGGTGAAGGCATAAGGAATAAATGAAAGGACTGCTTTCAAGCTTAGTAAATTAATGAAATAGCGAAACGAGGTATGTGGAAGCTTGAAATAAGATAACAGGACAAAAAAACAAGGACGTTTCGGCATAAAGCCTTCCTCAGCCAACAATAGAAATGATCTTCTCTTTTCTTTGTTATATTTTCATTTCAAGCTTCCACATACCTCGTTTCGCTATTTCAGGCATAAGGAAGGAAGGAGACTAAAATTTGTTGTTGTCCCTTATCTTTGACTTGGTCTGGGCTCAAGTCTACCACTAGAAAAGTGTTTCCCAACGTGGGGCTCCAAGGGGGACAATTTGACGATTTTGAGAGGACATTTTGTTTAACTATCAAAGTTAATAAATCAAGATAAAATTGTTTTGCAAATATTTCCATTTAAATCATTGTTGTATAAGTTATACCATTTGTACATCAGTAACTACCCATGTATACTGTCTGATGCCTAACATCATAAAGACAACTACCCACATGTACTGCCTGATGCCAATGACTCATGTACTGTCTGATGCCAACTACCCACATGTACTGCCTGATGCTTAACATCATAAAGTCAACTACCCACATGTACTGCCTGATACCAACTACCCACATGTACTGCCTAATGCTTAACATCATAAAGACAACTAACCACATGTACTGCCTAATGCCAACTACCCACATGTACTGCCTGATGCCAACTACCCACATGTACTGCCTGATGTCAACTACCCACATGTACTGCCTGATTTCAACTACTCATGTACTGCCTGATGCAAACTACCCACATGTACAGCCTGATGCCAACTACCCACATGTAATGCCTGATGCTAACTACCCCCATGTACTGCCTGATGTCAACTACCCACATGTAATGCCTGATGCCAACTACCCCCATGTACTGCCTGATGCCAACTACTCACATGTAATGCCTGATGCCAACTACCCCCATGTACTGCCTGATGCCAACTACTCACATGTAATGCCTGATGCCAACTACCCCCATGTACTGCCTGATGCCAACTACCCACATGTAATGCCTGATGCCAACTACCCCCATGTACTGCCTGATGCCAGCTACCCACATGTACTGCCTGATGCCAACTACTCACATGTACTGTTTGAGCTCTAGCAGCAGGTTTAACTGCTGACATTGGCTTCATCACTCTTTGCGGCTGTTGCTTGATATGTGGGAGCGTGTCAGCTTTTAATTTGGAAGGTGTGTCGAGTCGCAAAGCTGTCAAAAAAAAAAAAAGAAGCACTTAAACTTAAATGTAATGATTTGTATAAATTTTAAAAAACAAAGCCAATATTGATTCATATTCTAAGCAGACGCACATCTACCCTATTTTATTTTCAGAAAATGCTATCAACTAGGCTGTGCCAAAAATTGTTAATAGAAAAAGCTGCGCTTCTCAAATCAATAGTGACATTAAATATTTTCATCCGCTTACCTTGGACCTGGAGTTTAGGAATCTGTATGTCAATAATCTCACTTATGCACATCTCCTCCTCCTCCATTTTGTTGCTTCCATCCTGGGGAGAGCCAGGACTGTTCCACGCCACACCCCGCTCTTCCACCAAGTAGCAGCACTGCTCATATTTGGCCTTCAGCTCATTGTTTAGGAGGTCTTGGCTGTGTAGGACGTCGTGTTGTTTCTTAACCAATTGAATTAGGCAAGAGATCAGTCTGAAGGTGAGTTTAAAAATTAATTATTAAAAAATTTCAAACCATTCTTACCTTTTTAATAATGACAACAGTTTCTGGGTGGCAGTCTATTTACACATTCTGACAGAGCACTTCATACTAAACTTACATGCCTTGGATAGAATTAGAATTAAGTTATTATTTTTTAAATATCTGTTCTATTCTACTATTTATTTGAACCAGATTAAATAAACGCTCAGTACAATTTAACATAAAGCAGATCTTTCAAGGCCTTTCAAGGCCCATGTTGCTTGGCAACACCCAGGGCTAGTTTAGAAGAAAAATACGCTACTGGGATAAACACAACCACATCTATGAATATCCTGCAAATCAACATCTGTGGGATGTCAAACAAAAAAAGTAGGAATCTCCCACATCCGGCACATGAAACAAGTACCGGTACATAAAGTACTACTACAAGAAACTTCACAACACATACAGACCCACACACCACAGGGTATACTCAATACACATGCAATTGTTATGAATATAAGGGCATTATAGCATGAATAAGAAATGACATCCAAGGCAATGATATCCACAGATCAAATCTCAGATACCCAAAGAGCTACTGTTTGGTACCATGGTAAAAAAATATACAGTCTTCAACACATGCAACGTCCCCCCACCCCACCCAAACAAATAATTGCAACTTTTGCCCACCTAGAGAACACACAATACCGGTACGGTACTCCAAGAGTGTGATTCCCAGGATTTTTAACTGCCTCAATGGGAATACCAAATTTACAGCAGCATTGGGAGGCAATAGAAGAGCTCTGTAACTCTACAAATTTATTCCCTATGCAGAACAGTTGATACCAGCTCTTCTCCACAGAGCTCATAACACAACCACCAGACCTGACCTCTCCTCGTCAGACTTACTACAGATACACACCTGGGAGATGATGGACGGCACAGGGAGCGATCACAGACCCATTCTGACGCCAACAACATTAAATCAAAAGAATTTTTAAACAAGAACATGCATGATTTTCAAAAAAAGGAAACTGGGATTTAGATAAAGCTGGAAGGATGAAGTAGTTAGGGACATCCCCAAAACAACACTACTGAAAAAGTCTGCCAACTAACCACAAAAGGCATATTAGAAGCTGTCTGCTTCTCAGTATCCCGAGAGGTTGCAGGAGGAAACATAAACGTTGCTTTTGGGACAAAAATATAGAACAAGCCAGAAAAAGCAAAGACTCTGACAGAAAAACTTTCGAAACAAATCAAACTATTGAAAACAAACAATTCTTAATAAGACCATGGCAAAAATGAAAATATCTATCAAGACAGCAAAGAGAAATAAATGAGTACAGACAACTGCAGAACTAGACCCGCGCAAGAATGGACCTAGGGCATGGTGCATGGGACGTGGTCTCTTCTAAGTTACCTCTGCTGTGAAAAGAGGAAATCCAACCCAAAACACATGTACTATGAAAACTAAAAATTAGGGTAAAATCAAGAGAAAACAGAGATCTTTAACAAACACTTGGCCACAATCAACAAAGGCAAGCAAAAAGACCAGTGTCCCCACTCTGCAGACATCTAATGAGACATCATTTCTTCTATTGCCAGGACCTATGCCTAAACTACCTACCAATGTACCAAACACACCAGACTACACCAACATCCTAAATACAAACAAAGAAAAGCTGCCTAGAGTCTTATAATTCTTCACCATGGCCACAGGCCCAATCGGCCACTGGATCTGAATAGTGATAATGATGAAACATTTCACGGAAGCTGTAATAAACATAAAAGAATGTGATAAAATGTGTAATATTTACTTTTCATTTACTGCTGACTGTCTTTCTTGTGCCCTGGCCATTTTTTTAACAAAAGCTAAATACATGTGACTGTCATACATGCTGGACTCGACTGTGTGAATTCTAACATTCAGGTCAAGCAGCTGCGGGGAGAAATGGTTCATAAATGTTAACACATAATATTTATCATGTTGTTTTTTTTTGTTATTTATTGGTGCTTAAGTCTAATTACTTCAGTTGTGAGTTTGGCACAGGTATCTATTGGTACTAAACTCTAATTACTTCAATGAAACTGACAAAATTCATTATAATTTTTTTTTTAAAATCCTATATCACTCACCTCTGGAAGCTGCTTGGCTTCATTTAAGTTTGAAACAATGGAAGAATATGTGGAATAAATAGATGCATCGTGGTCTTTTACATGGTGAGCAGAATCTATCAGGGCCTGCTCCTCTTTTGCTATTCTCTTTTTCATTCTTTCAATCACACGGGTGTGTTTCCCAATGACACTCTGCTTGGAAACAAAAAACAAGAAAAAGTTTTTCAAAGATGCAGATCCTATGAAAAAAAAAAAGGAAAAACCTGTCATTTTATTTGTTTAAATCAAACATTTACAAATATGAAGACATTTAAAATACCATAATTAATTATATTTATTTTAATGCTAAGACAAAAATCTGTTTAAATTCATTGCATAGTAATAAGAATAGTCTCCACTGAATTTAGAACACCATAATCATGAATAACTGCTGGGGTGTGATCATGTCACATTTAAAACAATTTTTTTTAAAATATAGTACAAGTCTGAACTGAACAAATACATGTTCCTGCATTTTCAGAACAGACAGACTAAATAATAAGTGTGAGATTAAGTTATGTTTCTTTATGTTATTGAAAAGATTGGAAGTAATTTTCTTAAGCTGTCTTCTTACAGGTGATGCTGTCAATAGCTGCACACGCTTGATGGCTTGTTCTTTGCGGATGACCTTCCATTTCAACTCTCGCTTGGCACCCTCTGATTCCATTTGGGCTCTCCGTATTTCTTTACGGGTTTTGAACAGATCATTCAGTCGTTCTTGAAACCTGTAAATACATTTTCTTAAATGTCTATGTTTCTGTGGGCTTTCAGCAGCAGCAATCTTATGACAACATTTTGTGCCACACCACATCTTAGTTAAGATGATTGTTACTAGGAATTGACGAATGTGCCACTTGGCCCAAATAGCAGAACATGACACACCATTAAGTAACATTTGACTTCACCGCAAACATTTAATTTATTACCACCACAAACATCCCATTTATTGGGGTGAAACTTATTTATTATTTTAATATAGTTTTTAAAATTAAACTGTTAGAAATAATCATTAACAATAGCATTTAAAAGGGTTGTATCTCCCTGGGAAAATTGTTTATTTTATTATTACAGAATGTTTTCATGTTTAGTAGATTATACATTTTAATTTATGCATTGTCATTATTTAAAGCAAAACGAATCTATAAATAATACATCTTAATTTATGCAATTAATTATTTAAAGCAAAGCGAATCTATAAATAATACATTTTAACTTAGGTATTGTCATTATTTAAAGTAAAATGAATGTATAGATAATACATATCGAGTTATGTATTAAACATATAGTTTTCATTTTAGGATGAACACAGCTTAAGTGCTACAAAAAATAGAATAACTCTATCTTACTGTCTTGTTATTGGTGACACCAATGGGGCACTGATTGTTTCTTCTTTTTGAATTGACTCCATTAGTTTCTGTTTGGCCCGCCTCAACTCTTGATTCTAAGCAAGTTCAAATGCAAACATATGAGATTTAAAAATTAATTTTAAACATTTTTTTAAATTATTTTATTAAGCTGATTCCTTATTGCCAAGTAAAGTTCAGAGCTTAATTATAATTATCTAATTAAATAGCAGGCCCTAATTAAATCCTTTCTATGCATTTTTTATTATATTATTTTATATTAACAATCTTATGTCTCATCCGCTTTTGCACCACAAATCATTACACCAACTATTTCAGAAAAGCAAAAGAAAACAAAATGTACGAAATGCACTTGCGATATTGTTTTAAAAAGAATTTCATTTAGCGAGGTTATCTGAAATTTTATGTTGTGAAATCAGTGGCATCATATTTCCATCAACTTCTCCTTGAAAAACTGATTTTTGGGAGTTGGGGCTGAAAATTTGATTAGAATGTGTTGTCATCTGCAATGAGTATGTGCCAAGTTTCAGCTCGATATGTTGACCTGAAGTGGGTCAATTAGCAGTCCGAAGATTTAGCCACACACCCAGACAGAAAAAAATAAACACTCGAACAAAAGTAAAATTATGATATTATAAAGGATTTAAAAAGACAGTAGAACTAACTTTTCTGTCTTAATTCCAAATTAAATGTGGTCGCTCAAGACAGGAAAGAAATTTTCCCACTATTTTATAATAAGTCTCAAATTGTCTGTACCTCTTTCTCCAGCTCCTGTACATATTTCTTGTAGTTGGCAATATGAAAGTCAACACTCATTACATTCTTTTTCAGCTGAAATTGTAAACAGAAACTTGTCATGCCATCTACATTTTGAAGCAACTTCCATTTGGCTTAACAGTATTTCCCCTGAAGGTTATTGATCATAATATTTTATGTGAAGAAAAAAAAGGTTATGAGGATCGATTAAAATTTTAGCAGCACCATTTATTTTTATAAAAAAATTTAAAACTTGGATTCTTTTTTAATTTTTTTTGTTTTTGACCTCAAGCTTAAAAGCTATTCAGTGGAGATAATGGTGTTTTTTTTAAATAAAATATTGCAGCTGCCTTGTACCCAAATTACTTAGTGATAAACTAATCCCAAATTCCTTTGTGATCAACTCACCTTAACCCAAATTATTTGGTGATGAACTAACCCTGACCCCAATTACTTTGTGATCAACTAATCCTAGGTGATTGGTTTGCTCAACAATTTAAAACAGTTTATGAGCTCCATAAAAATGATAATGTAACTATAAGCTTAGTTCAAATAACATCAGTGTTAATTTTCTGACAAATCGATATGAACCTATTTGCAACTTACGTCTGCTCTTATATGTTTAGCCCTGTCGGCGTATCTTAGTGTGTTGTAGGTGTCTTCAAATGACCGGCTGGATGGGCTGAAATTCCAAATTGAGGTTAATAAAAGATGAGCTCCAGAATAAATAGCAACAAGTTCAAATTTGATACCTTTGTTTACATTTTAATCGGCGTGTGGCTAAGAAAAAGTTGAATACTAATTTTAACCTGCACAGAAATCCTTAAGCCTGTCAAAGACGAACATTTTATTCTGTTTTTGTTGTCTTGAAAAACTTTCAGTTGATGACATGAATCAAGAGGCTAAATTACATTGATGCACTTCATACAGTTGATTGGTAGAACGGGGTTGAAATCAGTTAAATGAGTATAAACCTATAATGAATATAATCTTATTTCACAGTTCTTTACCTAACTGCAGCAATCATCACAGTCTGACAATTGCCACCCAAGGAATCCTTTAACAGTCTAGTCAGTTTGCTGTCTCTGTAGGGGATATGACCTTTAAACTTTGAGAAAGAAAATAAAAGTATGCTTATAATTTATATGCTCCATATAAATTTAAAAAACTAATAAGCAAGGCCTATGTAATCTCTTGTTTTGTTTTTTGATTATGCAAAAAAATGATTTCAGTTAGTACAATGGTACATCAAAATTTGATATGAATAACACAAATTAAATTGAAATGTAGAGAATCATGTGGTGTAAAGTTTAAAGACCAACCTTATTATCTGCCAGAGCATTAATGACGTTGCCTAGTGCCAGCAGTGATCGATTTATGTTGGCTCCTTCCCTGAACCTGTCCCCACGGTTGGTGGTGTGATTAGCTCTCTCTGACCCCGCCAAGTCGACCAAACACATTTTTGCCATTTTCACCTCTGTGCTAACATTGGCGGATTTTTCTCTTTGATTCACAAAAACCTGAGATATTTTCAATGTTCTGCATTTATACATAAATTAAGGAGGCATCTTACAAATATTATGATCATGAATGTCTCTGTTGACCTCATTAACCCAAACAATAACCAGATAAAAGATGTTTACAAAAATAAACATCCTCCTAAGAAGTATATTTGCACTTAAATGTATAGCTGACTGAGAGGGGTTAAAAATTAATATTTTCAATGAAAAAATTCTCATGTGTGGATAGTATTCTAAAATGAATGAAACTATTTAACAGAATGAAATAGTGAGAAACCTGAAATACTGCATGAGATCGTGAGGACTCTGCATTAGCATCGGTAGGGTGCTGGGTTCTATTCTTGTTACCGAAGTGCAGCATGTGAAGCAACTCTTCAGCAGTCTTGGGCTGGTGGTTCAAGTGAATCGATGCTGTTAGTTAATATCACATGTTTGTGTATTGTAGGTGAGTGTTAGTAACAAAAACTGATAAAGTGAACATGGACAACATCATGTAAGTAATTTGGTGCTTTTTTTTTATTTTTATTAACCTACATAACTAAAAAGTATGGGAATAACGGTGTCAAATTTTTAAACATAAAGTCAGGCTATTATATTGCATGAGCTCACCTTACGAAGAGATAGTTTGGATATGATATTGCATCAGCTCACCTTATGTAGAGACAGTCCAGCTATGATAACTCCTACGTTCTTGTCTTCTCTAATAGGGAGATTTCCACGTGGCATTAACAAATCTCGCACTTGTTCATTGTATACCTGAAAGTAATTTGCTAATTTTCATTACATATAAAGAAATGGTTCGCCATTGGATACCTATGCATTATATTGCAGCTGAAAGATTTAACTCATTTTTTATTGCAAATCTGGAAAAATAATTCATGACTTTTGTTTTGAAATTTTTTTTTTTTAATTCTTATGTCAATACACATGTGAGATATTGTTACAACTGCTGTGATTTTGATTATTTAACAGTAACGATTTTATTATTTATAAAACTCTTTAAATTCCTTGGGGAAATGACATGAAATTTATAACTGACAAAGAGCAATTTAAAAACCTCAGAGTAAGACACTGCAACATCAAACATCTTTTCGTCTTTTTGTTCATTGATTCGTTTGTACAAGTCTATCATGGTGTGGTAAATGACACCAGGTTCACGTTCATTGCCAAGCATGGTGTGTGTCTTGCCTGCACCAGTTGCTCCATACGCAAACACTGTATGAAGAATATAAGCCTTTGTTGAATTATTAATATCTAAAAAGATGAAGAAAATATTTTGCCTGGTTCTGAACAATTTTTTATTGGAATTCATTCCATAATAATGCATATAACTAATGCATGTAATTAGGATATAACTAAAGATGTAATATGATAATCAGATCGCCCATTTTTGAGGTTGAATGAAAACAATTATAGTTTGCATTTTTTTTTTTTTTTACAATATGTTGATTTACTTTTAGTTACATTTGTTATTGTTGTTACATGAAATCAGCTTTCTTCATAACTTAAACAAATTCCAATGCTAACTGCACAGATTTGAAGCTTTCTCATGAAAAAAGTTAAATGTAAAACATTGGCTTAATATGATACCAAATTACAGACTATAATTATTGTGTTGTAGCTAGGTTTAATCATACTTGCATGTTAAGGATTTCCCAATTTTATAGTGACAATACTGTTCATTGAAACAATAAATGCCTAATGTAATCAAAATGTTCCTTACCACTGCAGTTGTATCCATTGAGAACCCCGCTTACAATGCCTTTGGTCGTCTGCTCAAAAACAAACTTATTTGTTGCTGTAGGGCCAAATACGTAGTCAAATGCGTACTTGAGGTCTTTGAATCGTCTGCGATTGATGTCCCTTTGATTTGTATTCAAGAAGCCTGGTGCATTTTGGATTTTAGGGTCAAAGACCAGCATGTGATCACTAATGGCCTCAGTGACTGTGTGATGTTTTTCATTATTCTCTGCCTCATTCACAGGGCGGATGCGAATGACAACCTAAATTTAAACCAAAGGGTTCATGATATAAGTCCGTATTTTATCAATAAAAATAGCATTGGCTGAATTGTGTGCATTCTCAGTGGGAATGAACTACAGAGGTCACCTGTGTATCGCGGTCAATCCGTTCCAGACTCTACTGCGGTAAGTGAACACCCGCAAAGTAGGATTCTTTATTTATAAGTCACAGCCCTCTAAATACGGTTTTTAACATTATTAGACCCTCTAGGGATGCTCTACTGCATAGGCCTACAGTCCATATTTATGGTAATTTTAATAGTAATACATAGGTGTATAATTGACTCAGACAACTGAGTGCATGCTATATCATTTGCACCATCTTGATCAACTTTTTAATGAATACATGCTATATTTGAAAAAATCTGCGATAGAGTGAAGCTGGGAAAATCGAAGCACTAAGTGGCGATGGACGACTGTATTTGAATTATTTTCTAGATTTTATTCTTTATTTAACTTTTCACTTTCACTCACCTTAACATTACCATTCTCGGATGTTTGACCTTGCTTTGAAGTAGATTTGTCAACTGGATACATTATCTGACTGGTTTCTGCATAAAAATCAATAAAAAGAATACAAGAGTAATATAAGATGATCATCAACAAACAACAGCGGCAGTACAACTTAAAATTAATTTTTTATGGAGATGAATAAGACAAGGAATTTGATGAGTTTCATTCTCTCTCATTTGTATACTCATTACTAATTATACTGCAATACTACTGAGCTAAGTTTATAATTTGTTAGAATGTGTCAGGGTGCTAGGTGGCAGAATGGTTTAAACTGAGCAAATCTCAAGTTGATGGTCTGGAGTTTAATCCTTACCAAGCCCAGTCAAGCAAAAACATCACCAGCACCCCGGGTGGATGGCACTCATTAACCTTGGAAGGCAACTCATCTAAGAGAAGGAAACTATGAATTCAAAACCCGTAGATGGAGCCCCATAGGCGGATAACATTGGTACAATGAAACATTCCGTCAACTCCTGTGACCCCACTGGTGCCAATCATCCCCTTTTCCACCCCCTGGGGTTATCCAGGGGCATGGCGAGAGGTGATTTGCTGTTGGGAACCAGCTTATAATCCTAGAAGAATAATCCAAGGCCTTGTGGATATCGTCCTGCAAAATCTACACCATCATCACATTGTGACGGACGGATGCCAGAATGTGTCACCGTGTGTGTGGGAGGGGGAATGGGGGTTAAAATTGGGTGGAGCAAGTGATAAGACGATATAATATATTTAAATAATGTACATACAGCTAATTGAATCAAACCATCTAACAATATTTAAAGACTCCACTTGACATAAGTGGGATCATGCCTTAAACAAAGTCCCTGCCCACCTTAAGTGGATAGTGTGGACATGATATTTGTAGCTTCACAGTGACTAGCACAAGCAGTTGCCATACTATTTTTATAGAATTTTTAACAGAACATCTGTTATTTCTATATCTAGAAAGGATCAAACAGACAAATGTATAAGTCTAAGTAGAATTGACATTTGTCTAGCATCAAATAATCAATAATAATTGTCGAAGTGCATAAAAAATATTGTGTGACAAGTTTTTTAGTTCATTATCTCTAAATCCGATCTCTAAAATCTGAACAATTACTTTTCTTGCTCTTTTCAGTAACTTTATATTTATATAACCTTTATTAATATAACTATCATAAATCATGATCTAAGTTAAGTTAAAGTAAAGACAAAAAATTTAATCAGCGGAAGCCCAACAATGAAATCAAGCCAAACCTGCATTTTAAAAACCTTAATTAAAAAAAGTATAATTTGATTATGAAAATCATCTTGCTACCCTTACCTAGTCCTAAAGCCATACTACTAGCTAGAATAATTTTGATTAACTTGCCGAGATTGGGCAGAGGTTTAAGAGTTTAACACTAACAGTAACAAGACTAAACTAAACAGTAAACTAAGCTATTACCGTACTAATCTAGTAAGAGTAAGAGTCAAGACACTTTCTAAGACTAATTCTAGACGAAGTAAGAACAAAAAAGAGAAAGAGTCAACTTTGAAAGAGCACGCCTATGCCCTATATGCCTATATGTATACACTAGTATTTAAGTTTAAATTTATTAGTCCGTAATCTGAATTAGTACATTAGTCTGATATTGGTATTAGAGTTTAGATTTGAGTTAGAGGCTAGATGCTAAAGTCTATAGGCAGGCAGGGTTAGTGAATGTGTTAGTTTAAGTATGTTTAATAAAATAAAGTAAATTAAAGTCAAAGTGTTAGTTAGTTAGTTTATTTAGTAGTTTTAGTTTAGATTTTCTGATTTAGTAGTCGTTTGTAAAAACACTTTTTTTTCAATCGTTATTCATCATCAAGATGGGGAAGATAATTTAAACAATATTGTATAAAACTTACATTTAAGAAGTTATTTTGTGGTTATGATTTGTGTATAGTGCTTTTATTTTGCTATGACATTCTATTACAACTGTTGATGGCTTTTCCATTGTAAACAAACTTTTAAACATCAGCCATATTTGTTTTAAAATTGTCACTATCCATTTTGATTGGCCTATACGTCCACAATAGTATTTGTAGTTACTTTCAAAAAGTTGAATTCTAAAAAAGAGAGGGCTCAATTTCTCCATATTTAAAGCATGACAACTATAATTAAATTAAATAACTTCACTTAAATCTATAAATGCATCACTCTCAAATGTACTAGTAATTATTGTTTCAATCACTAACAAGGCAGATGTACCGTTTTGTTACCAAGCTATTTGGCTTTTAGAAGAATTTAGAGGCAGACCAGAGAGAGAGAGAGAGAGAGAGAGAGAGAGAGAGAAAGAGAGAAAGAGAGAGAATGGGAGGGTGAAAAAGAGTCAAGCAGACATTTGCATCGTTTGCCTCGTCTCAAAATTCACTTCAAAATTCTTGCGTACAGTGGAACAGGCCTAGCTGGACTTAAACTTAATGCATGGTGTACATTGGACTTGGACAGTTGCCTGGGGCTAGACCAGGGATCGGGAACCTATGGCTCGCGAGCCAGATGTGGCTCTATTGGTGGCTGCATCTGGCTCGCAGATAAATGTTTGATTATTTTTAAAAAGTCGCATTAATGGTAAGAAATACTCATTATTGATTAGCAACAGGCAAGAATGATCAATTCATTGATCGTGGGCCATCAAAATAAAGAACAAGAAGAAGACAATGTTATTAAAAAGAATTCAGAGACATAATTATTGAATTATTGCATTTTTAGTGTTGAAATTACACAAAATGCACACATTGACTTGAATTTTTAGTTTTAAACATAATGTATGGCTCTCACAGAATTACTTTTCAAAATATGTGGTGTCCATGGCTCTCTCAGACAAAAAGGTTCCCGGCCCCTGGTCTATACAATACAAGGTTTTTCCCAACCTGTGGTGCTCGCACCCCCACGTGGCGCGAGGTGCCAGTTCGATTGTAGGAAAAAAAGTCACAGGGAAAAAAAAGGTCAAAGAAACAAAAAATCACAGGAAAAAAAAGGGAACATTCTATTTGTCAGTCCAATAAAAAGTTTATTATAGACTAAATACCAGTAAATGGATCCACTCTTCACAAGAAGAATGGTAAAAGGAAGAAAGAAACAAAATATGAAAATCAGGTGCATTCATACAAATATATAGACCTACGCAGTGATTGAGTATCATATAAATAAATTAAAAGATACGTCTGAAAGTAAAACATGTAAAAAAAATAATTTTGAATTCTTTTAATGAGAACAGTCGGAGGAGCACGCTGGTAAATTCTGACAAGATTGGGGAACAATTGAATTTGTAGATCTTTCGGCCCAACGCCGCTTTGACCACGATGAGGTCTCTGATCCTTTTTGAGGATAGTGTTATCACTAAACTAGTGCCACAAGGCCCCTTGCTTTTCATTGTACTGTGTGAGATGTGTCGTGGGAGACGGAAGATCAGAAGCAGAATAAATTCTTTCAAATGACAATCACACATCAACAAACAAAATAAAAACATCTGTCTCCCGAGCGAGAATCAAACCCCAATCGTTTTGGACGAAAGCTTAGACTCTACCCAATCGCTTACTACCATTTATTGTTATTCAGTCTGTAATTTTCATGTTTATTGGCTTCATGTATAGCAAATTAACTAATTATGAATAAATCACAGAATTTAATGTGTGATTATAATATGTAAACATAACAGATAGGCCATAAACATATTTAATACCAAGCCAGAATCAAAATACGATCTCAATGAGCCGTCTCTTACTTTCATTAGCTGTTATTTAGAATATAATAAACGGTTAAATGGACTTAAAATAAAGGTAAGTTTAATAAAATGTTTTTCTGTGAATTTTTTCTCCTGTGACTTTTTTTGTCTAGTAAAATTTGTGACTTTTTTTTTTCATCGTAGAGCAGTGGTTCTTAACCTTGTTGGAGGTAGGCCTACCAAACCCCATCAGTTTCATATGCGCATTCACCGAACCCTTCTTAATAGGAAAAATAAAATTTTGATTTTTTTCTGATTTTTTTTTGGGACCTCCGCCGAACCCCTGAGACTCACTCACCGAACCCCTGGGGTTCGATCGAACCCAGGTTAAGAACCACTGTCGTAGAGTGTGCAGAACACATAAAAGAATGGGACCCTATACACTATACATCGTGGGATGATTGTTGTATTTTCTTTAAAGTCATTATGGATCAGTGCGGTAGAATAAATGAAATAGTTGATAAGAATTTTAACCAGGGGTTAAGTCCCGGGGAACAAAAAATGGGGTATCTCAGTGAATCTCACCCAAGATCCCACTAGCCCCGAAATAAATATGTATCTTTTTTCTTAGCTAATACAGCACATGATTTGTAATAATTGTTCTGTTTCATGTATGTATTAACAACCGCATATTGGAACACATGTAACTGAATACTAAGTTAACGTGCTTCCCATAATTATAAAACACGCACCACAGTGGGTTATGATCCTCCCCTTCATATGCCTGTCACACAGCTCGCATACCTCAAAGGACCGACCTGCACCAAAAGGGACTGACCTGTACCAAAAGGGACTGACCTGTACCTCAAAGCACTGTTCTGTTCTTCAAAGGACTATGATTATCTCAAGGGACTGTCCTGTAATTCAACTGCCTGTCCTGCACCTCCTGGGAATGTCCCCGCAGGACAGCTAACGAGAATGATGTTCCTGCTATAGCATAATGCATGAACACCGTTATCATGCGTTCCTGCAGGGCTCAAGCTCCAATTCTAATCCAATAACTTATCTAAGGTAGGCAAATCTTATAGCTGAACCAATAACTTAACTAAGGTAGACAGATCTTATAGCTGAACCAATACCTTATCTAAGGTAGGCAAATCTTATAGCTGAATCAATAACTTATCTAAGGTAGGCAAATCTAATAGCTGAACCAATAACTTATCTAAGGTAGGCAAATCTTATAGCTGAACCAATAACTTATCTAAGGTAGGCAAATCTTATAGCTGAACCAATAACTTAACTAAGGTAGGCAGATCTTATAGCTGAACATTACACAAATATGGATAAGAAATTAATTTTTAAGGACGGTTCCAGAGTCATCGTGTGAATTTTTGAGGCCCTCTGCCATTTTTTTTTTCAGTTTTGTGCCCCTCTGCATTAAAAATTGATCGTTTATTTTCTGTCCACACCACAACATTGGGTCCCCTATCAGAGGCCTGCAGCCGCGGGGCCCACGCGTCGGCCCCGAGCGTATCATCATATCTTTGGCATTGAGATCTCCAGTCTTAGTTGAGAATGCTATGGCTTTATAGTAGGCCGAACTCAAATATGTTTTTAAACAAAAGTTTTCACAAATCGGAAACTCCGGTGGTTTGAGTAAGTCTTTGATAATGCTCTGGTTCAACAAGGAAGTATCTCATCTAAAGATAACATTAAAATGTTCAAAGTTGCTTTGGATGCACGAAGTGCCGATTCAGGATAACTCACCTAGGAATGCTGCACCTGTCCGACCCCCCCCCCCCCCCGGTCTTTATAAATAAAAAATCCCTGCCTAGTCAATCTGGTCAGCAACAAAAATTTTTTACCTCGAGTTCGGAGATATCTCTGGCCACTGCCACCACCGTCATCCCTTTCTCGCACAGTTTTCTTGTGGTAGCGAACCCGATGCCTCGCGACGCACCGGTCACTAGAGCCACTCTTCCCAGCCATTTGTCCATGGAGGTGGACTTGGGACCTCCGGCAGATAACGTGGGACTGAGGGCTGGCTCCATTTTTACAATTTCTTGAACTGTCCACTTTTACTCTTACAATAGTTCTATCTGGCTTCTGTTTACACTTTGTGACATTCTAGGTTCGGTTACTAGGTAGATTTGGGAAGCTGCATTCCACAGAAACGGTATTTTAAGATGTGGTTGGTGTGCAAAGGTGCGAAATGAAGACACTGGTATTAATAATAGTAAATAGAAATGGTGGAACACAGATATGTTGAGATTTGAAATGAAAAGACGGGATAATTAAAAGGTCAAAATCTCTGAGGTGTCCCTCCCGGTTTTTTATGAATTGTTTCCCCTAGTTTTTATTTGCGTAGACATATCTTTGGGATGACGTAAACTTGTTGACGTATCAATTTTGTATGTGGAAGTTGTAGAGATTACAGAGGATGTTTCCGAGCAGGCCTACATCAAAGGTCACGCTGGCTCACGAGGTTAGTTTGAAAGTAATGACGCAGGGCCGTCGCGTGACTTTTGAATGCCCGCCGCCACTTTCACGTTTAGAGCCCCCCTTCATTGAAAGGTGGTCGATTATTTTGCATTCGTAGTTAATGCTGCGGTGCTTAAAATTTAAAAGACATACAATTAAAAGTTAAACATTTCAAAATGATTCAACGGCTCACTCAAAATAGGAACACTTTTGCTCTTTGCGTCATCAAGGTCAGAACTTAGAACATTGTTCAATGGATGCCATTGATTGGACACAAAGCATCTCATGCGCCGTGGTCTGAGCGTAAAGGGGATTTGGTGAGCTTCACTTTACAGAAACTGCGCTCTCCGCTTTCAACACTGACAGGCATCGAAATAGTGATACCATTATTACCATCGCCGACCTACTAGAAACGTGGGGGGGGGACTGACCACGATCCCCATCAATTTTAAGAGGACGTACCGTCCGAGGTGGAGCAGTAAACGACTATTTTCGTGCCCCTTGTGTTTTTGTGAAGTGCCCCCCCCCCCCCACCCCTATCGTTATGCAAGTATACACCGTTTGTAAAGGAAACCTTATGATTTAAAGAGTCCAAACAGCAATCTTCACGTCACCAGTTGAACTCTTCATGAGAGTTTAGAACTGAGTCTAGTTAACCTGTACTTACCGCTTCATTCACAAACAAAGACCGCATTTAAAGTTAATATTTAGGAACATCTACTCATGAGTTTTAGTTTTACTTGCGGCAGCTTTCCATATTATATGTAGATACATTCCTTCCTTACAGTTCTCTTACTTTATTATAACGTTTACTTATATATGGCCCATGAACTTTTTTTTTTTAGGGGTGGGGTGGGGTGGGGGGCTAAATCAATAAGTGATTTGTTGTGCATTGTCCCAAACGATTTATTTTTTTATCAATCACTTCATCATTAAGAAACAGACAACCACCAAAAACAGTACGGTGGTCACCTCATGTGCTGTCCTTTGATAACAATCGAGAATTATAGCGGCCTGCTTTCTTTCACCCTGTTCTCCCCATGAACTTGGTCTCAATAAAAGGCGACAGTGCTTGTCATTTGACTATTGAAAAATAACAAATTTCCAATGTTGGATTAAAAAAAAAAAAAAAAAAAAAAAAAAAAAAAAAAAAAAAAAAAAATTTCTGTTCGATCACGTGAGCCGAAACTTCCGCTTCTTAAAGGTGCAAACCCCTATCCTAGTAGGTACCGGGATTCGAAGAATAAAGAACGATTGTTACCCGTTTAAAAATGAGATTACAAGGAATTTCAAAATGAAAAAAAATAGGCCCCCCCCCCGACTTGCCACCCTTTAAGAAATATGTAAAACGTGTGGTTTCACATGATAATCACCGGTAATGGCAGCTCGTGGGTTGAAAATATTTGTCACTTTTATAGAGTTCCACCATTGATGAAAAACTTTTGCTACTTAAAAATTTAAATGTTTTTTTTCCCCACACGTCATATCTTTGGGCCCCTTAACCGATACAGCTTTGGGCCCCTTAACCGTCATATCTTTGGGCCCCTTAACCGTCATATCTTTGGGCCCCTTAACCGATATAGCTTTGAGCCCCTTAAACGTCATATCTTTGGGCCCCTTCAACGTCATATCTTTGGGCCCCTTAAACGTCATATCTTTGGGCCCCTTAACCATCATATCTTTGGGCCCCTTAACCGATATAGCTTTGGGCCCCTTAACCGTCATATCTTTGGGCCCCTTAACCGATATAGCTTTGAGCCCCTTAACGTCTGAGCGCCCCCCACCCCCCTTTCAGCCGCAGGGGTCACGAGGCAGCTCTGTAACCACCAAAAAATACAAACGTTTTTGTTGAAATCAAGGTTTGTTTATTTCATTTGATATTTGCATACAAAGCAGTGCTGTTAAAGTGTGTACTAGCAGTAGCAGCCTAAAAAAGTACAAATATTCATTCAACTAAATTACCTTGAAAATACAAATGTTAAATCATTCAGCTCATTCAACAAACTAAATTTTATTGCAAATACAAATTGTTTATTCCATGTGATTATTTGTACAAATGTTGAAAGAATTTCAAGACAGAGACCCTTTTAAAATAAATCTGATCTACTAGTTGTTTACCCTTTTAAACACATGTTTTGATCAGTTCAACATTAACCCTTTCAGACCTGCAAAAAAACAACAACTTGGTTTTTCTTTTTGAGATTCAACATTGCTCTAAATGAAGTAAAGTTTGTTGAGATTCTGTAAAAAAGATTTTTGATCTGGATCTTCAACAAATAACCCCCCAAAAAAATATTTTTTTTTAAAGCAGAATCTTTGAAATAATAAACACACAGAAAATAGAAACACAAGCATTGTACTAATTTCTTCAATCAGCATTTGAGATTGGAAAAGGATTGCGGTACATATATTAAAAAAAAACAAAAAACAAAAAGGCTGTAGAACAAACAAGGAGGTTGCATCACAAAAGAGGGATTAGTACACACTGACTTACACAGATAACATCTTCACACGGGAGTACCGGCCCAGGACAATGTTCAAATGCCCTTCGGTGGTAGAAAGATTAAAAAAATATAAATCACAGAAGTATTGGAATTAATTAAATAATTTTGGCTGCTGTAACATTAAAAAAAAAAAAAAAGCTTCTTACAAAAATATCCATGAGGCACTTTGACTCCACGCTGATGTGCACATCTTGCAGAGTTTTGTTCTATTTTGATGAGATCTTCCTACCGACACCTTCCTCTACATCTAAATTATGTAATAATGGCAATTTTTGGGGATCTCTTTCTTGAAGCCATCTGTTCCCCATATTTCACTGATTATCAGCATTACGTTGTTAGCACGGACATAAAAAAACCTCCCCACAAAAACATAACCCCCACAAAAACATAACACTAAAAAGGTTTTTAAAAAAATGTAACCAACAAAAAAAAAATAAAACAGAAAATGTTCGGCTTAGATGGCAAGAATATAGTGATCACGGGTGAGCTCTTCAGCCAGGGTGAAATCATCTTTCTGTAGAGATAAAATTTTTTTTTTAAAATTCAACTACAAGCAGACGTCATTCTTAGGAAAACCCATTATCTGCGTTAGAGACACTTAATTTAAACCTACTGTATTATAGTTGTTATTGGCCTTCATAGCAGATATGTGCTAAACAAACTGCGCAAACACTGATTATAAGAATCATAGAGGTATATTAGCCACTTCTCTACAGATAAGCCATGACCAGAAACATTTCATTGGAAATGGGTCAATGTTACTCCATATTTTAATGAAAGTATTTCAATTGAAAAAAATAACTTTAACCCTTTAACCCGCTTTATCGATCTGCGTCCGCGTCTTAAGAATCCACACCCCGCCAGACTGGTATTTTGGTCCGCCATACCCTACAGTCCGTATATAAAACGTGTTGTAAATACTGAGTTCAGGGTTTACCATGTGACTTGCGAAAGGTCACAGCAATGGCTAAGCCTATGAATGCATTGTTTCTGTTATATTTTTTGTTGTATAGAGGTGGCAAAAATACAAAAAATTGCTATTCCCAAGGACCCAAACCAGAGCAGATTTATGATAATGTAAATAATTCAAAGGATTATTATCATGTTTTGAAATAGGATTGAAATAAAGCAAATAAATAATTATAGTGATGATAATCGATTGACTTCAACTTCTAGTCTTAGTGCTATCAATGTGTGCTTTTGCAATAAAATAAACACAAGGTCTACCCCTTGTCCCAGCCCTGATTTTATCAAGGTCGCATAAATGACCTCTTACTATGCTACTTTACACCATTTCTAAGACAATTTTATCCCTGTTATAATATTTTATAATATTTATGGACTAAAAACAGACAAGATTGAAAAAAATAAAATTTATTTAATTCTATAATCATTTGATTTTGTTTGCTTGTGTGTCAGTTTGTAAAATTTTTACCCAGGAATATGAATATTTTCGGACCAGGAGCCGAGGGTTCGAAGGGTTAAAACTGCTTTTATGTTGCAAATAATTACGCTTTAATTAAGCTGCCACCAAATCTAAATGATCACTGATTAAGTCATTATTGCCACGAAGGGCTGGTTTCTACGCTGGAGAAATACTTTAGATGTCTCGTCTTTAAATTCTTACAATTGTCGAATATTGTTTTCTTAAAAATATGCATATTTATGTGCTGAAAATAAATATGTAAAATGTAATCAAAGAAGATATCCATTTCTTTGGATCCATAAAAGAATCTCATCTTATCTTTACAGTTTTGGTTTTAAACAGGACAAAAGTTATTTAACTATTAATATTGCTATACAAAAGCCAAAAACTAAAAACTGCTTTCAGAACCAATAAACAAAATGGGATTAGCGCTTAACGACAAGACTAACTATCAGATGAATGAAAGAGAGGCCTTGAAAGAGGGGCAGTAAAAGAACGTTGAGTGCCTTCAAAAATAATTCCCTGACAACATTTTATTAATGTTTAAGTTGCTCTGAAAAATGTCAACAAAAAAAATATTACCTTCTCACACTCTTTGGGCACATCAAAAACAGTAGCATTTTGAATTCCTGGAGTTATGTCAATGAAGCCAACATTCTGTACAAAGTCAACTGGAAATAAATCATTATCACTTGTAAAGCTTCTAGGTATAGAAACATATGTACACAGGACAAGCATGGGATCAGTGTTTCTTAAGTAAATTATACTTTCTAAGTTTCTTAACTCTTTCGCTGCGGAATTTTTTAATTAAAAAAATTTACATTTTTTTCGAAGAGCAGAAAAAGAGTGATAGGTTGGGTTTATTAGAAAATATTAAAAATATTATTTGGTTTATTAGACTAAACTTGGTATCAAATGAAAGGTAATTGAAAGGACTATATGTTCGTACACTTATTTCTTCACTTTAAATAAAATAAGTTACAGAAAAGAACCATAAAATGTGAAAACGTTTTATGCTAAACCATTTTCCCCCAAACCCTATGATTTACGCATACCTCATCTTCACTTCTATAACTCAATTCCTCTAAAACTATCGGCATAATGCGATGCATCTAAATATAAATCATCTTCACTATCAAAAGAAATAGCATAAAACAATTCCAAAGCTTTTTAAACTGTTAATCGTCTAGGAAACTCACCTACTAGGGCTTAGGGCAGCCATAGCAACAGTAGAAAAAAAAAACGCGCAGAATATCATCAAAATAATGCTTCAAATGACAAATGAATAAAACAGAGTAGGGTTAAACTCTTTTCTTTTTCAGGTTTAACCCTACTGTTTTATTCATTTTACATTGTGCTAACCTGATTGCAGTCTCTCCCCTTATTACCCTTCAAATGACAACAAATAAACCTTGGTTTCACTTAAAAACAATGAAGTACCACTCTTCTATGTAAAAGTCTTATTTAAATATAGCTCTTAAAAAGTTTAACCAAGAAATAGCAAAGAAACAAGCATGATATTGAAACAGGCACAGGGCGTAGGTCCGTGCTTTTGAGAATGGCGGAAGAACACAGTGTGCGTTGTTCCGCATCGAAAGAGTTAATTGCTTTCCAAACCACAAGTAAGTGTGACTAAGCCAAACAATATTGGGGAGGTGGTAAATACTTCTAAGAAAACAAAACCAACCACTAAATTTGGAAGACAATTGTCATCAAATTGGTGGGCAATAAAAAGACAAACTGTCCTATTCTATCCATAGACGCACAAAAGTAGGTGTGGTAGGAAATAAATGTTATCTTTAACTCCATACCAAAGCACAGGCAAAGAGTTACATTTGGTCTGAGTTTACAATGAGGAAACAACACAGTAGAGATTATTAAGTTGTTACAGCCAGGTCATGAGAGAGAAGATAACCTGCCACAAAATAAGGGTATCACACAACAGGAAGCCTATATGCCATAAAATTAGACAACACTCTTAAAAAATTATGCTAAGGTAACAATCTTTAACTTTAGCATGAATGCATTCTTTATGATGGTGACAGGACCAGGAACTAAAATAAAACTAAAGCAGAAGGAAATGTTGAAGTCTACTGCATTTACAAGTGCAATCAATACTTAAGATCCGGAATATATAACCAAATAAAGGGTAATCTAAATAGCATTAGCCCTTTCAATCACGTTGCAGCTTTCCGACCCAAATGCCCCTTTAAACTGCAAGCACGTCAGCTGTTAGTGTTGACAGAGATGAATTTGATACAGAAATAGATAATGGAAATACATTGAACTAGTTCAACATCTTGATATCCAAGATGGGCCAGGAGATGATGATGAAGACTATGTTCATAGATCTGATTGGTCAGACCACTGAGTTCAATGGAGATTGAAGAATTTATAGTTGTAACTGGTCCTAATGTAGATTTATTTTAATTAAAATTTCATCTTTTCTCTACAATCATCATTAATTTTTTTTTATTACTTACTGGAAGAAAGATTGATTTTTAATAAATTATTAATCAGCAACTTATGGTCAAAATGGATTTATTTACATTTGCTTTGTATTGAAGGTAATTTTTTAATGAAGATAAACCACTGTATGTTTAAACCATTCATACCTTGATTTCTATTTCCACCTTTCTCAGGCATATTATAATTTTATGCAAAAAACCAGTAAAAGATGCAAAATAGATTATTTACCAGACATGGCCCATCTATTATAATACCAGCCAATTCCAATATTAAGATTTCTGACCAGATGTGTCTGGTCTAGTTGCAATAAAAGCCACCTCCAATTTTAAGATTACTGACCCAGATATGTCTGGTCTAGTTGCAATGAAAGCCATCTCCAATTTAACGATTACTGACTAGATGTGTCTGGTCTAGTTGCAAGGAAAGCCACCTCCAATATTAAGTTGACTGACCAGACTAGTTGCAATGAAAGCCATCTCCAATTCTAATCAAATAGCTCCACCCCCTACCCGCCATAGGAATAAATACCTTTACGAAGTTTTCCATAGACGGCTTCTCCGACAGGCACAAACTGGTTGTTGTCGATCAACTGCACTGAGACAAAGGCACTGACGCGTTCACCCTCTAGGGCAAAGCCTGAAACCTTGAAGCCACCCTTCAGACCCATGTAGTAGTCACCTACAGCCTTGGCTTTCTCTGAGAATGCAACATATTTGTGTCTGAATTATTACAAAACTGTTACATTAAAGCTGCAGCCCCCCCCCCCCCCCCCAAACCAAGGTAGGATCATATAAAATTTGCACCACTCAAAGCAAAAAAAAGATTGAGTAAAGTACATTTAAAAATGATATTTCAATAAGCCCATTCAAATGAGAGGTGCCTCAGGCAAGGTCCAAGGAACACCCCTTCTGTCTATTGGTCGCTTCAGTGGATTTTCAGCGGGTTGATTTTCCTGGGTTGCCCATCTGAGTGCTGCTCTGGGAGGTGAGCTTTGTGACATTCCAAAGATGTGACCAAGACACCCCCAGCAACATTCCTGCAATTTTTATTTTGAAAAAGGATTATATCTATTTCACATTTAAAGTTGACTCACCAGGGATGCAGGCCTGACGGAAGGGACGATCCAGTTTCTTAGTCCAGCATTTATCTTTCTTCAAGTCCACAACATACAAGTTACCCACCTGTTAATAAAGTGTAATGTGACAGATGTCACAAGTGAATTTAAATCATATTTTAATTTCAAAAAGTAAAATTAATGATATAGTACTAGAAATTTTTTAGGTTCACACAAAAATTTGGATGGCAGCAATTACTTTTTGAATACACTGATAATGTTAAGTTTCCAGGATTTCAGCTACCACAATAAAATAGAAAGATAAAAGAATTTTATTATCTTATTTGTCTCTTTAAAATAAAAATAAAAATCAACACTTAAAAATAAAAAATTAAACGGAGCATATGAACTATTTTAATCACATCAGGGAGAAATGGATTTATATTGGCTGAGAACTAACTGGCTGAATATACTAAATATATTAGTATAGGAAATAAATTACTTACTTCTCCTTCGTATTTGATGACAATCCTGAATTTGTTTGAGTATTCACCATTTCTGTACTCAAGGAAAGCAGCTGAACGCTTGTTGGTAAAATCATAAGCAACTCGAACGTATTCCTGAAAACCAAAATTCTACTCTTTAAAACCAGGTTTAAAAAAAAAACTATCTACAAACAAAAATTGATTCACCAGCAAGTGTTATGTGAAGTGTGAAGAAAAATTAGCCATTGGTGAATTCCCATTAATAGGTATTAAATCCCTAAGACTTGTCATTCATTGTTTGTTGCAATTTCATTAAAAATATGGCTAGTATAAGTTGGTCTGAATTTACCCCATATTAAGTTGTGCTTTTTAAATATTAAATTAAAGAAATAAAAAATGGACCTTCAGAAGTCCATTGCGTTTGTGAGTAGCCCAACCTCCAATTGAGGCTTCTGTACCTTCCCATTGGTCAGGTGTGCAAACAGCACTGCTAAGTGCTACAAATGAGCACAGCACTAATACAGCAGATGTGACAGTTATCATTGTTGATTTAGTGTTTCTGTAAGAATTAAAAACATTTGTAATAAACCTATTTGTAATTAAATTTTACTCAGAATGATGACAATATTTATATATTTTGAAAGATGTGATTACAACTAGTTTCCAAGAAGTATGAGCTTGGGTATAGTTTGAAGAGAAGTAGAAAATGACAGACAGAACATCCCCATTACCTTTTAAATGGATTAGTCTTATAATTTATGGATGATTTTATTTGAGTAATTATTTATAATTACATGCGTTCAATTTTATACATACAAAAAGACTACCTTTTTATAAATATAATAATTATATCGATTTAAAATTTAACACTAGCTTAATAAAATTAGTTTAAATTCAATAGACATGCTATTTTTTCATTTTTTCCTTCATAAATAATGATTTTTCCAATTTTTCTATTCATTTTTTCTTAACATAACCGCAAATAAAATTATCCAAAATACCAAGTATTGATGTTATGTAAAAGCATTATTGTTCACTGTGTTGTATATTGCATTGAGAATGTCTCCTGAAAATTTGGTAGCTTTATCTTTTAAAATAAAGTTGTGGGCAAAATAAGGCAGAAATTTGGAAATTCTGTCACAAATTTTCATAGTTAAATACAAAGATACATTTTTTAATAAGAGGGTCTACAAAATTCCCACAAAAAAGCATAACTTCGTTTCTATAAACACTAGAAAGATGAAATTAAATTGTTTTTTTTTTGCAAAGGGCGGCAAAGCTTATACTTAAAACTGTAACCCTTTAAATTTTAAATTTAAAAATACTTCAAAATGATATATCATTTATTTATGGCGTTAATGGATTGATTGCAAATAGCTGTATAATGTTAAATTTTAAAACTCTATATTATGTATTAAATTTATTATTTTGTGACTTCAGTGAGGCAACTTTTTCCTTATTGACCATCATAAATGCATCTCACAAGAAAGGACAGTTAGCTTAAAATCTATGCCATTGATTTGGTCATGCAGAGACATTAAAAAGGAAGTGGAAAGAGATACCAGTATTTATTATACATCCCAATATTATTTCATGTCAAGTAAATGAAACTAGAGTTTTTATGAAAATATTTTAAACAATCAATAAAATTTATGGCAATGGCAATATAATATGACAATAATGAACATTTCTGTCAAAGTAGGCCTATCTATAGATCATGAATCATTAAATGATCTCATGATTAAAAGTCAAGTACAAGCCAATTTTACAAAAATTAAAATAAAATTTATGATAAGTATAAGTTAATTAAATTTAAGGGCAGTGTTCAGAATTTCAATTTTAAAATACTACCAGGCTACCAAATACTTTATTAATGCTAGGCTAGACGTTGTTGCCCTTCTATCAGATCTGCTTTATTTTGATTTTTTTTTCATTCAGCTGATTCTGATTATTTTCCCCCACTAAACCAAAAAAACATTAACTGTGTAACTTGTCCGACCTTACTAACAACGTTAAAGTTTAAGCCGTTGGTAGGGCAGTAGTAGTGACAGTAGTGTCTTTGTGGTCAATGAATGACCAGATATAAAATTATTGACAAAACTATGACTATGAGGACTTTAACTACCGTATAGCTGTTTTAATCTTTTTTGGTTGTACTCCTACCTTGATAAATTATAAATAATATCAGATCGGCAAAAATACACAATTTGTATTGCTCCAAAAAGGCTGGATCAGTAGAGTAGAGTAAAGAACCAACGTCTGTAAGTCTGTATTTTATGCTGCGAGCGTTCTTGCCTAGTCACGTGACGGATAGTCACGAGATGTTTTTTGTTACATAAATAACCCCCTGGAAAAACTTAAGTTCAAGGTTGCCGAATTCATATTATGAAACAACATCCAGGATGATGATCGAATTGAACTGTAACCCGACCTCTCATTCAATGTTTAACTTTAAATATTTTCTTTGTAACTTTTTAAAAGTTAAAATATTTTGTTGTTGACTATTAGAAACCGTTTTAAAAATTAAATCTTATTTGTGATGACTTTAAAATACAGTCGAATAACAATGACATGAACATGTTTTAAAAAAATAAAAAAATAAAAATTAAAACCTTTAGTCTAAATGAAACGCAAAAGTAAACAGCTCCTTTTATTTATTGTAATCACTTGTTAATAACTTTTTTCTCGCACTCCCTGAAATGCAATCTCTTACCCTCTAGGGATGCGAGCACCCCAGGCTGGGAATACTAGATTTAAACAAGCATAGCAATAACGGATGCTTAAACAATGAACAACACCAATTAATCAAAATTAATCATTTTGAAAAACGTGGTATGTCCAGACTTCTAAACCAGGGGTCGGCAAACTTATTCTCTTGGGCTTATATTATGGTGTAGCCTACAATAATGTTATAGTTATGTATTAGAATATCTAAAAATATTTTCCCTCATAAATCAAAACATAGAAGGCATCTTTTTCCCATGTTAAAATGTAACATTGAACTTAGACATTGGTGCTTTTCGGACATGTTCAGATTACATGTTCATTAATATTATCGAGAATCCAAATAAAATACAATGAGATTGGAAAACAGTTGAATTTTATAATCGCCTTTTTTTTCCACATCAGTGACTAGCATGAAAGTGAAACTCTTTTGCCAAAATATGACATTAAGATTAATTGGTAGACCTACCCACTATAATCATATTTACTTGCAAGTGCTCATCAGACATGGTTGCTCTGTAATCAGATATGTCATTTTTGTAAATGTCTTCTCATACAAGTGGCCATAGACAAATCAGTGGCATAGCTAGAATTCGGTCACCTTCCACAAAAAGAAAACTCTATAGTTAGCCGAGAAGCCGCTTATTAAGGCCCTAGGGTCATAAGGGGAGAGACTGCAATCAGGTTAGGAAAATATAAAATGAGTAAAACAAAGTAGGGTTAAACCTGAAAAAAAGGAACGCAACAAAACAACGAATGTGTCGGCAGGAGGCCTTCGTCAGCGAACAAAACAACAGAAAAAACAAAATAAAATTAAAAAATAGCCCTTGGCTTAGAAGTAGTATCCGTGGGCAGCAAATGAATTATTAAGTCCCTATAGTCACGTAACCTAGGCTTGTATCACATACTCGTATTATAGTCTCGTTTGATAGTCTCGTATTATTGTATCGTATCCTAGACTCGTATGATAGTTTCTTATGATAGTCTCGTATTATAGTCTCGTACTATAGTCTCTTGTAATAGTCTCTGATAGTCTCTTATGATAGTCTCTAATGATAGTCTCTTATGATAGTCTTGTATTGTAGTCTCATATGACAGCCTCATATAATAGTCTCTTACGATTGTCTCGTATTATAGTCTCGTATTACAGTCTCTTATAATAGTCTCTTATGATAGTTTCTTATGATAGTCTCTTATTATAGTCTCTTATGATGGTCTCGTATTATAGTTTATCAGTGTTCCTTCTTTCAGGACCTTCGCGTGGCTTTTTTACCGCCCCCTCCCCGTCACTTTTCGGTTTTGTTCACCCTGCATTCAAAGTTGATAGTTCAAATTGTTTTCACATGACAACTTTGGGTCCCTTAAATTTCAGGGGTCCCCCCACCCCCACCTTTTTTTCTCCACAACCTGCTTTGTATCATGCTGTCTTGCAGCAAATCATTGGAATGGAGATTGTCACAAATGACTGGGGCGGGGGTTAACAACAGAGCTTCATTGTTCTTCAGATAAGTTATGGGGTGAACGGACATTGCTGTGATTTTAGGGAGGGAACTGTTAGGCGCATGGGGGTTAGGCTAATACATTCTCGTATCTTTTAGATTAAGGGGATGCTTCTTTCCAAAACATTATGTCTCGGGTTTCCCAGACTTCGTGTGACAACTTTGGGGTTGACGACGGAAGTTCCTAATTGACCGGAAATGCGGGGGGTATGGATGGGTTGATTGCCAGCATTCCTGGACCACCTATAGGGAGGTAGAGAATGGTAAATAACATAGATCTAGATCTCTTCGTGACATAGGACAGAGGGAGAGATTCGTGGACGGTCGTTCTGTTGTGACAGACGAAGTGGTACTAGCTGTAGTCAGAGATAGAATTAGGGATAGACGGATAAGTGTTAACAGTTAGAAAAGAGACATTACAATCTTATTATGGTGATCAATACATCCTTTACTTATAACTGTTAATGAGGAGTTGTTTAGTAATTCATTCGTGTCCTGTGTTCTCTTCGTTGTACTTCTCAACGCCTGGACATAGTGAACCATCACAGAGAGGAACGGCTCCGTACTATCCACAATACCACCAAACGCCACGCGGTATATGACCATAAGTACGGGCCATACCTCATAATATCATCTCTTCTGTGACAGAGATCAACCACTTCCATTTGAATTTCACTTTGCAGCTATTCAACCACACAACAAACGCATTTTATGAAGTGTCTTATTTTTATTTCTCTGACATCCAGATCGAAAAAGAAAAACTATATTATATATATATATGTGTGTGTGTGTGCGTTTGGGTGTATCCAACCTATAAATACATAATATGTGTGTATGTATCCAACCTATAAATACATATAACATAATGTTAGGTACAGTTAACTTATATGAATGTTTTGTTGTTGTTGTTTTTTTTTGTGGCTGTATTACCGATGAAGGCATTTGCCGAAACGTTTGCAATCGAGGGTTTCAAGGGAAACACCAGTGATGTCAGGTTTTGAGAGTTTTGAGAAAACAAAATTGATACTAAAGTTTGAACAGTCCTCATGCAATGCGTATAAACATGCCAAGATGTACAAATATTAATTATGGACCGCGCTGCTTTTCCAGCTTGCCCCATGTGCCCTATTATTCTACTGGATGGCTTTGCCCCATGTGCCCTATTATTCTACTGGATGGCTTTGCTCCATGTGCCCTATTATTCTACTGGATGGCTTTGCCCCATGTGCCATATTATTCTACTGGATGGCTTTGCCCCATGTGCCCTATTATTCTACTGGATGGCTTTGCCCCATGTGCCCTATTATTCTACTGGATGGCTTTGGCCCATGTGCCCTATTATTCTACTGGATGGCTTTGCCCCATGTGCCCTATTATTCTACTGGATGGCTTTGGCCCATGTGCCCTATTATTCTACTGGATGGCTTTGGCCCATGTGCCCTATTATTCTACTGGATG